TTTTCTGTACACAGAGATCTGGCTTTTCTGTTTGGATAGTCAAAGATGGCTTCAGCAATCCAGATGAGTCAGATACGTAGTGATTTGGGCAAATTACTTAATCACCTTGTAGGTGACTTTAAAGACGGAGGCCATAGAGATAGAGTGGTGATCATTATCGACCAGATAGATGTTCAATGATCGTGCTTCTTATTGATCCACTTCTACCTCTTCATAACCATGAAGGATAGTGTTCTTGCCCACTCTTGGACAAAAATCAAGAATACTAACACCATTCTGAATAGATATAACACAGAAAACCACACAACACAATCCTTTCACTCAGTAGTATGCAGACTCAACAGTAAATGAAGACAAGGTCAACACCATCTGCAAAATAACGAGGTTCCATGAAGTTTGACCAGCAAGCACTATCATTGGTCAAAATGAGCGTTCCTTTTGATTTAAAATCCAAGAACATAAATTAACTGTGAAAGGACACGACATGTATTCTTTTATTTCGATACACGCATTAGGGGGTTATGAACATCAATTTGATTGAGAAATTTTGAACAGAGAAGCCTGGTATCGTACTCTCAAACAAATCAACGATTAACAGACTCACATTAGCATAGATCAAATTTATCAACTAATAAAGAATAAGATTTGATAGTGTGAAATATTCCCATATTGTATGAATTAAAAGTCAATCTAAACGAAGAAGAATATTCTTTTCAATATATCCTTCTCCTCTTCAGGTTCTTACAATTATAAAATAGAATATTTGGATTGATGATTCTTCTTCTCACTAAGTGTGCTCCTTCCTCTTAACCCTCTTGGTTTTTTTCCTTTGCTTATTATTACAATTATTCGTCATAATTTATGCCCTTCATACAAACATTCCCTCAATACTATCGAATTTTTCATTTATACTATCCGGACTTATTATTAGTGATGATATTATCTCTTTTCTCAATATACGATACCTTCACCTGTTTCATTTCACACATTCGTTATTTCATGATGAACCACCTCTCATTGCAGTCTTACTATCTCTTGTTTAATACAGACCACTTTGTATTAGCTACTCACTCACCTGACACCTTTTTATAACCTTGAACTGACTTGTCAATTTTCCTACCCCACACTCTACAAATCTATTATGACGACTAATCCTCACCATTGTCTCTGTTATGTTGCTGCTGCTGAGTGGTTAATAGTAGTTATCCCCGTCGCCAAATTGTTATGTACTCGTCGCTAAATTATTGTTATGGACTGGTCGAGAATTTAATAGTCCTGATGCAAGAAGGCGGAAATCAGAAGACCACTAGGTTTGCGATGATACTTCTATTGTCCAAACACAAGGAGACGAAAATAAATGGTCTCACACCAAAGTGGTAAGTAAAGTAGAGTGTAAGTCACACAAATTGTGAGAACGAAATATATATATGAAAAGGGTGTGAACAATCATTAGACAGTCGTAACATGAATGGCTAATTATAATGAAGTATCGGTCCATATATACATAGCTAAATATAGCAGACATGTCAACAACCACCATATATGGATATATGTCACCAAGCAACGGACTGTCAACAAACATTCATATTATATATAATATAAGGGGAATATACATTGTTAAAGGAGACAAGTTCATACAAGTGAAATGGTCACAGACTAAGAGAGCAAACAGAAAGAGAGATCACCATACACACACACATATATATGTAGATACATATCAGTCCCCCATTTCACAATATATTTTGTAATCGATTTCAACCAACTAGCACGTTTGTTACACTCAAATACGACTATTTATTTTGATACCCCATAACCACTAATCTGTTATTCTACGTTCAAAAAATGTATCCACCGCATAACTGGCCTTTATTGTAACGACAACAAATATTATAATTGTTTTATAATTGTAAGAACCTGAAGAGAAGGAAATTATTGAAAAGAATATTCTTCGTTCAGATTGACTTTTAATAAAGAATAAATCACACCACAAAATGGATCAAATTCCAAGTTAATAAAAACAATCAATACTGATGTAAATAGTAACAACCAATCACAACAAAGAAGGTTGTCAAGAGATACGGTAATATCATTCGTGGAGAATTGAAACAAGCTCATTGAATACAACCACATCAAATTCTTCAGCTGACCGCTAAAACTCTCGATTATTTCAAAAAATTTTATTAATTTTATTTTCAATAAAAATTCTAATACCAAAAAAAAATTATCTGTACATATTTTTAGAAAACAGATTATACAAGTTACAGTTATTATTATTAAAACATAATTTGAAATGTTGACAATTGATCATTGAATATTACCATTCATTAATATTTTTGTTGAAATGAACATTTGGTGGAGGTTTAACAAATTCCATAATATTATCAGATATCAGACGTTTTTCAAATACAACACGTTTTAACCAACTGATTGGCCATAAAAATATTATCCATATACCAATATAAAATATATATACCCATTTTATTTTATTAATAAAGGCCGTTTCAAATCTAAATTTTATAGTTAAGGTTATATGTGTACGTGCATAGTTAACTTGGAAACAAAAATGATGTGGATTTTCTTGCACGAGCTTCTCCTCTATTCCAACAGCCTTTTCTGCTTACATGAGAAATTTAGAATACAGCAATAGTGTGTAAAGAATATTCTTTGCTATACCTTCATGTAGGTTTACAGTTTATTTTCCTTCACGTTCCCAGTGGAACATAGGACCTCAAGCTAGTGGCTTGAAGTGTTTATTTTACAGGATGGGGTTGCTAGCCAGCCTCGTGCCCAACCTTTCCTCTTTACCAGGATTATTTCTGGCTTAGCGAGGTAAAGCAGTGCGTCCTGTGGCCGGGGATCGAATCGCGGACCATGTGTATGGTTGGCGAGCATCCTAACCGCTATGCCACCAACGAATGTAGGCTTACAATGAAGCCTGTTAATCATCGGATCTTTGGACATCATCCATCAGAGTGGTTAAGCAAGGGAAAAACGAAGTCTGTTCGTAGCTGTCTCTTTTAGCTCAGCGTTGTCGATATTGAACATAAAGTTGGGGTTAACAAGGCATTAAAAGTTATCTATCTTTCAGTCATACTCTGAATAACGTTATTTACACTTTACGAGTGGCACAGTGGTTAGGACGCTCGCCGATCATACACATAGTCCGTAGGTTCGATCCCCGGCCACAGGACGCACTCCTTTACCTCGCTAAGCCAGAAATAATCCTGGTAAAGAGGAAAGGTTGGGCACGAGGCTGGCTAGCAACTCCATCCTGTAAAAGTAAACACCACTGCTACAGAAACTTCGAGTCTGTAGCTTACAGCCCTATGTTCCACTGGGAAAGTGAAGGAAAAAAAAAGAGAGAAAACGTCTTACGAGTTCATCTTCTACAAATACAACTGAAGTCTTCGGAAACCACCTTAAGACGAAGAAGTCCTTTCAGATGATATCATTACTTGATTGTTAAAATCTGTCAGTTGCCTCTTCTGTCTAAATCTTTTACACGTTAGTATTGTTGTTTTAATTTTGCTTAATTTTCGTATTAATTTCTTTAGTTTTTATATTTTCACTCAAAAATGCTTTCGAACCGTAATTGTTTATCAGCCTTAACCATTCAATATTATTTAAACAAAAACGTTAAGTTTTCACAAATGTAAAACAAATCACAGTGGGTAAAAAGCCAGTCTATGTTCAGCTTGACTATAAAGGTGAAAACATTGCAGCGATGATCAACAGAAGGCTGAGTACATCACTAGCCATAGCCTATCCTGCAGCCAAGCTCGTCCCCGTCTATCGAACAACTTTCTCTTTGGTGCAATCAAAAATCGATAGATATCCTTCTCATGTTACCTCCAACTGTATATACAAATTTACGTGTATCTGCGGGAGCAGTTACATTGGAAGAACAGAAAGAAGGGCATATCTACGATTTTCTGAACACTTACCAAAAAGCTTACGTCTAAAGGGAACAAATGCTCTAAACAGTGCCATCGCCAGGCATCTCCTCGACACGGGTCATGAGGTGGACGTAGGCAAAAGAGCTCAATTCTCCTTAAGTTTGCTGAAGCGATTTCTATCAAACGCTTGAAACCTGATCTATGTGTTCAGAAAGAAGCAGTTATTAGTCTTTCCTTGCCTTGGTAACTGGATGCCTTTTTTTCTCTCATCTGATTACATAATCTTTGTCTTTAACCACACCCTCCCTTTTATAATCTGTAATTTTGCTTGTCTCTTGTTTCTATGATTTGAGCTCAACTCAGTTCATTGTTACCTAACTTACTAGTCACTATGCATCTAACGCACATCTCATCTTTATTACGTAACTCCTTTACCATTTTCTGCATACATTTATTTTGTTTTAACTTGAACTGCCTGTGTGAAAACTATATAAGCGCAATCTTCTGAGCACTGTTTACAAACTGTGGAATTTTCTGTCAACTGACAACATGTAAAATTTGCAAGTATGTTAAAACATGTCTGTAATTAAACCTCATAATTTATTCAGGCTGTAAGCAGCTGATGAGAAGCCAACGAAATAAATGATGGTACCACATTATTCTGCTAAAACTGTAGTTTTTGCTTTGTTCAAATTTCAAGAGTGTGTTTGTGGGGATTTGATTGGCTTCAAGTCTGATAAAGGGTTGATATCAGTTTTAAAAGCCACTGGAAACCAGTACTGGATTACTGGACAACCAGCTGTTTCCTACCAGTTTCGGACTCATCAACAGTACGTACACTCACTGGATTTCGAACCTAGAACCCTTTGGTTACAAGGCAAGTTCATAGAAGTTAGAATTCATGAGCCATTAAGTGCGGTCCCATTGATTGAATAATCTACGGGCTTGCCTTGTAGCTGGAAGGTCCTGAGTTCAAACTCTGACGGCGGGTGGTGAGTACTGTTGAAGAGTTCCAAAATACGATGAAACAGTTGTCGGATCAAGGAAAAAGTTATCGAAAATAAAATGACCTTAACTACTCAATCTTACTCTTCTTTTGCCCTCTAAATGCCTTACATTGTTTAACAAATGTTAGTTAAGAAAAGTTAACTTAACTCGTAGCATTACTCAGATAATAATGGGGACTATCATAGAAATCCAAGATGCATGTTTCGTCCAATTCGGGACTCATCAGCTCGACTCACATAGATTCCCAGTCAGTCAATAATAATGTCCTCTGTGAGAATTGAACCCGATAGCCATCGTTTAAACTGCTTTAATCTTTTCCTGGATTCCTCTTCCAGCCATTGTCAACCATCTGATAGCATCATGCGTACTTTCAGAGAACATCGAAGCGTTTGTGCTAGGCGGCTACAATGTCAACAATGACCAGTCATTTTGGTGCAATAAAAATCGACAAAGGAGATATAGAATTGACGTAAATAAAGTATAACAGTTGATAAGCGCTGAATTTTCAGGGGGAATGATGTTGCTTTTTGTTTTACAAAGTGGAGTTGTTAGCCTTACACACACACGCACACACACACACCTGATCTTTCCCTTTTTACAGGTTCATTATACCAGCTAGTAAACTAGGGGAACTTGAAAAGTGTTTCCTTTTGGGAATCTGATTCGAATCTCTCACTGACGTATAATTCATATAACAGCGAGTTTTAAAATGTTGACATGCAGAAAAAATTGACTGAATGGAAGTTAGATCACAAACTGACTTCATTTAGAGAACCGATGAAGACCACAGGAAGTAGCTAAACGCTTAATTCCTCCTGGTTTGAGTATCTTCAGCAGCAACCGGTCATGACCCACCCATAGGAGATAGAACCTAAGACCTTCAGATTGTCAGGAGAAATGGTCGACCACTGAACCACTGGGATGAATTCAACAACCTACGAACTTGAAATGAAATCAACCAATCCTCCAAAAATTTGCCATCCAAAGTTTCAGTTTAGATTCAGAACTAACAGACATCAGTTTGAGAACAACTGGAAAGCCAGGGAATACTAGACGGCTTTTTCGTCTTAGTTAGTGGTTCTTCAGATATATGTATCCATGACCCAAAGCCCCGGAGTTTAAACCCAAGACATCTGTTTTACAAAGCTACCTTATTGATCATTTAATTGCTGGAACGAAATTGACTCACCTCCTTAGTGAGTGATGAGAGTCACCAATTGCACAAAAGGTAACAGTTCATGTTTATTGTATCCTTGAATTTCTCATTGTAAATTTTTACTAGACCGAAATTGTACATCCTTTTTAGTATATCAGTTCCTAAGACAAACACCTTTTGGTTTCAACTTGATGTGATTTGATTTATTACATAGTTTGGTGGATAATGGACTAGCAGTGGAGCAGTCCAGGACATGCATTTAGTCCTAGCTAGGACTCATCATCTGGATGTGTCTGCGCATCACTCTTCAATGAGTAACGATGTTCCCACTAGGGTTCGAACCCAGTACCTATCGCTTCAAACGCTAAAAAGCGTTATCCACTAAACCACTTTGTCCCCAGAAAGCCATCTCTTCTGCATCAGATTCCAATGAATTCCACTAGTCCTCGCAAATCATCGAAGCATCTGCACTAGGAGCTGATATGTCGACAGGGGCTGATTAGGTGTATCCTGAGATGTACAAGTGACATTATAAGATCAATTAAATGGAAGAATCAATGATATTAATACAGACTTTTTAACTTTCGTTGAGGAATTTAATGAACGATAGGATTCATACACCGATAATTTTATCCTTTGGCCGGATTGCATAACATTTATACTGAACCGAACTGAATTATCAACGTAGAACTTTGTATGCACCAGCAGTAGTTTAGGTCGTTTACACCATTATGAGTGTTTTTGGGGGTGAATAGAGGTATAACGTCGTCGGTAAGGTTTTTCCCTCTCACGTGACTAGTGAGTCAACCAGGTTTTCTTTTCACACAATAAGGATGTAGGGTTAAGAAAGATCAACCCTAGGAATGGTGTATTCTAACTTATCATGTGGCAGTCTGGATATAATTTAAGGAGTCCACTTAAAACATGTTGTATGTGACTGGTGTCACAAACCGTTATCCCCCTATTACTGTTTCTGGTTTAGGCGTTTTAAAAAAAAATCAACTTTTACGGTGTAGGCAGCTAATTAATTAATAACCTCACATGTTGTCAAGGTTCAATATCATGTAGAGAAACCGTTGAAAAATAAAGGAGGACTGAATATATGTTTCGTCCTACTATTAAGGGACTCTTCATCTGTTCGCACCCACGATCCCATCCCAGGAATCGAACTCAGGACCTTCAGAACTTACAAGTCATTAAATTCAGGCTGAATAGTCAATGAGTTTAATCTTCTACTCCAAAGGCTGATGGTTCAATCCTTATTGAGTGGGATTGAGGCCGAGTACTTCTGAAGAGTCTCGAAATAGGACGAAACAGTTATCCAGTACTCCAGCAATGGATTTCAATAACATCTCTAACTGATATTGGTTGGTAAATAAACCGAATAAGTAAAATCATTGGTAATATCATAAAAAAAAGGATACAACATCTCTTTCTCTGAAAGATGAATCATTAAACTGATACTAAATGATCCTGTAGGGCTTGTTTTGTCCATACTTGCCAGATGATGAACTTTTCCAAGATGAATGGTTACTATTTAAAATAATAAAAAATAATAATAGTAGTAATAATAATCTTTACATGATAAAAAGTAACAAAAATAAATTATACAATATATTCTCAGATGTTAGTCTATACGGATTTGACTAACCTCAAGACTGATCATGATTGGACTTATATCAGTTAGAGAATCATTGAGAACCCTCACCGTTGTATTTGACATCCATTTCGTCCTACTTTGGGACTCTTCATCAGTGCGCATCCACTGTTGTTCGAATTCAAGACCTTCCAGCTACAAGGTGAGCAGCTTGTTGACTATTCAGCCACTGGGATCCAAATCCAATGGTCCATGAATTCCAATCTCTGCCACTTAGAGTGACATGTGCACATATAAATATATAACGCAACCGTCAGCCAATGTCATAGACGAGGAACTGTCCTCTTGTTAGACTTAGTTAACCCAACTGGTTACTTCTTCTTAACTAGAACTCTACAAATCAGATTAATTTTCAAGTGTGTTAGTCTGCAGGGATTTGATTGGCTGAATTATTCTAAGCTTAGACCAATCAGCTTTTGATCAAACCTGTAACCAATCAAAACCAAACCTCCCTGAAAACCAACGCTTAAAAGGCATTATCATTAATGACTGGATGACGATGTTTTGAACACAATTTTTTGTGTTTATAATCATATTATCAATTGTAATTGTATAATTTGGAAACTTTTTAGTAACTTTTATAGTATTCATTCCCCTTTCCCATTGGTTGTAGGGTTGGTTGAATTTTCCACATGTCCAGGATAGGTCAAGGGGTCTTTCTTACTGCAACTATTCTCAACTGATTCGATAAATAAAGCTTCATTTATAAATACCTCTCTCTTTTCAACCTGTCATATTAGAATTTAAGACTTTCATTTTCTCCCATGGGTCCAAGTAGCTTAATGGTCGACGAGCTAGTCTTACAACCAGGAGGTCCTGGGTTTGAGCCCCGGTGGCTGCGTACAGTTGAAGAGTAACAAACTAGGATGAAAAAGGAGTTCAGTATCTTCTAGTTTCTGTTGCTTGGTGGTTAAGCCGTAGAATGTTCACCAGCCATGCATGTGGTCCGGGCTTTGTTTCCCAGACGGCGAACACTTTTGCCTCCCATAGCTGGTTGCAAGCAGAAGAAAAGTAGAGAAGGTGCTACAGAAACTTCAAAACTCAAGGTTGAAGCCCAATGTTCCATTCAGAACCCAAAGGAATAAAGAAAAGTAGAAGGATAATATTAACAATAACTTTATCCCATCCTGTTGTATGGTTGTATGTAATGCAATAGCTAAGCTTTCTTCCCCTAAATTTCTTTTGAAGTTGTGTAATTACAATTGATGCGATTTTTTTAAATTTCCATCACGTTCCGAGTGGAACATAGGGCCTCAAGCTAGAAGGCTTGAAGGTTCTGTAGCAGTGGTGTTTACTTTTACAGGATGGGGTTTCTAGCCTCATGCCCAACCTTTCCTCTTTACCAGCATTACTCCTGGTTTAGCGAGGTAAAGGAGTGCGTCCTGTGGCCGGGGATCGAACCCTGGACCAGGTGTATGGTCAGCGAGCGTCTTAACCGCTGTGCCACCGATGCACAACAATTGACATGATTATAAACAATAAATCGTGTTTTAAACGTCCTTATCCAATAAATACTAATGTCTCACTGTGTGCCTGTATGATATCCGATAAACAAATTAGTAGGGAATTAGATAATACCGCAGTACCCAAGTTTCGCACCCATATACGTTGGCGTTGATGATATAAAGCCAAGTGACAGAGGTTAGTACTCATGGTCCACTGTATTCGGATCAATTAATCTGAATAGTAATGTGTTCTTTGGAAAGCTTGTGTTTTGACCCTCTCTCGGATCAGTCTGTCTGTCTTTCTGTTTTCGACATAGAACTTTGCACAAATGTGCGGAAGTTCAAGTCGCCACATTCCGTGTAGCACGCGAAGCAAGAGAAGAAAGTACAAGAAAAGCATAATAGAAACAGTGAGCAGAGGTGTGAGACAAAGGAGTAATAAAGAAATACAAAACAGTTTCATTGAAGATCATAAGTCACAGGGAGTGGATGCATCTGCGCTGGCCACTGAGAACGATTTTGAGCCATGTCACCAATTGTTTCCAACCATAGATTTTTACCGTCCCGAGGACCCCAGCCTGGAAGTCTACACCTTCCTACGTGACTGGCTTAGACCAACTGTTGTGGATTTCATTGACTGGTAAGGCCAAGTTTTTGTTTGACCGCCGCTAGCTTTTTTCCAGCCTGACCCTATATCCGCTAACATTGCTCTTCGGTCGAGGGAGGCGATGGCTTGGCATACGTAACACATGTCCTAACCATCTCAGTCTTTGTAGCTTCACGGCTTTGTCGATTGATTTCCCCTGTTTACCTAGAACTCTGCGCCTAACCTCCATGTTGCTCACCTTATTATGCCACTTTACACGGGAAATAGAACGCAGGCACCTATGATCAAAGACAGCTAGGCTTTTCATGTCTTCCACTCTCAATGGCCAGGTCTCACTCACAGCCATAAAGGAGGACGGAGCGGACTGATGAGCAGTACACCCACCCTTTGGTCGATAGTCGAACATCTCGTCTACGCCAGAGTCGGCGTAAACTAACAAATGCGAAACGAGCCCCTTGTATTCGTGCTGAGATTTCGTCAGAGATCAACCCGTTGGCACTGGCTGATGGTACTTCCCAAATAAGTGAAGCGGTCAACGTGCTCTACCACTTTACTTCCTATTTTTAAACTAGGCGTCGATGTAGTCCAGTCCTGTAACATCATCTTGCATTTGGCGGGAGCGAATCGCATGCCAAACATTCGTAGATTGCGGCTCAAGGTGTTTAGAAGACTCTGCATTTCGTCAGCGTCTTCGCCTAGAAGGACTATATCGTCTGCATATTCCAAGTCAACGAGATTATTCCCTGGTAGCAAGTCAATCCCTCTCGGATCAGAGATGCAGCATACACCATAGTAGGGCTGAGCTGTGTGACAGAATGGCCTATCAAAATAAGCACTTCATATCAAAACAGATTTCAACAACTGATATTATTATTATTACTAAGATAGTCATTCAAAACGATGGAGCATTAGACTGATGTTTCGTTCGAGTTTGGAACTCTTCAGAAGTACGCACTCATGACCTAAAAAGTGACGGAACCCTGGGAACTTACGTTATAAGGTCAAGTCAGTGATCCTTTATTTAGTCAGTGTGTTGGAATCCAGCTATAACTTGTTCAGTTGCACATTGTTGAAGAGTCCCAAATTATGACAAAACAGACATCTAGTGAGCTTATTGATTTCCATTTGTCCTGTAACTGGCATATGTACGTGGAGGGATTTACACTGAATGTTAACTCCTATGTTGACAATCTCCGCCCACATATCGTATAGGCGACGAGAAAGTATTAGGAGTGTTGATACTTCGTTTAGAATACAAAGTTTTTCTCTTGTCAACCACTTCCTCAGCTGTGATACCATCGCTGACAACTTCAGGCAATAAAACACCCTTCCCAGTTTTTTAAAAATACACGAAGAGTCTTTGTATTCCAGTTTTCAACCTCCAAATGTTATGCTGGATGACATTACAGACATTACCGAATTGAACTGCAGTTCCTCACGCATCGCTACAATATGCCTACAAGCTTTACCTGTGATATACGGCTCTTTTAACCCCATATTTGAGACAAACGTTAAAATTGTAAGAAGATTTTATGTATAATTTCCACCAGACTGCGTCGGTGGCACAGTGGTTAGGACTCTCGCCGACCATGCACATGGTCCGGGGTTCGAGCCCACGCCGGCGCACACCTGATATCTATGGTCGGCCTGCAAAATTTGGGCTACCGATATCCATGCTGAAAATTCCATACTTGTACCAAAAATAAAGTGTGGAATCAAGCTGTAAATCAAAAAAAGAGCTAATAGCTCCTCAAATGAATTCTACTTAAACAATTGTCTGTGAACTAGTTCGGGATACACTCTTTTACAGCGAATTCAAATCCTGCGCTTAAGTATCGATACTAACTAGAGTTCTGACGAAATAAAGGTATACCAGAGAACTAGAAACCATCATTGCCGCTTGTAATTTCATATAACCATTAATTCTTCTTGCTCTGGAGAAGATATGAAAATGGACACAGAGTGTTGACTCGGACTCATCTGAGTGTAGCAGGTGAAGCTGTTACACACTTCGGGTGGCACGGAAACTATCTCCCGAGTGAAGTGGTATAATAAGGTGAGCAATATTGAGGTTGGGCATCCGTCGAGTGCTAGGTAAGGAGGGAGGGGAAATCAATCGACGAGGCTGTGAAATTACATCGACTGAGATGGTTAGGACATGTGCTACGCATGCTTATCCTAGCCATCGCCTTCCTCGACAGTGGGCAATGTTAGCTGACGTAGGATGGATCAGGTTGGAAAAAAGCTAGAGGCGGTCAAACCAAAACATGGCTTCACCAGTCAATGGAATCCACAACAGTTAGTTTAAGTCAGCCAACCACATAGGAAGGTGTAGACTTCCTGTCTGGTTGGGGTTCTTGGGACTGTAAAATCCAGTGGTTGGGGACCATTGGTGACATGGCTAAAAATCGTTCTCAATGGATTGTGCAGATGCATCCACTCCTTGTGACTTATAATTTCCAATGAAACTATTTTGTTCTTCGTTATTACTATTCCTTTGTCTCAAACCTCTGTTTACTGTCTCTATTATGCATTTCTTCTACTTTCTTCTCTTGCTTTGTGTGCTACAAGGAGTGGAGTGTGGCGACTTAAACTGCTGGACATCGGTGCAAAGTTCTATGTCGAAAACAGAAAGACATACAGAAACGTAAAAAAAGAGGAGGAAAATTCCAAAGAGCTGTAATGAGCAGAAGAAATGTGTACGAAAAGGAATGGTAATATGGAAATACATGACGAATGAATGGACTTAGGGGAGTGAATGTATATGCACCATTGGGAACAATTTCCTGCCATATCAGTAACATTATCCAGTCACTGGTTCTTACCATCCCGAGGACCCCAACCAGTCAGGAAGTTTACACCTCCCTACATGCCTGACTCAAACTAACTGTCAGACATTTCATGGATTGATTCAAAGTTTTAGTTTGACAACCACCACCGGCTCTTTTCCAAACTGATCTATCCTATGTCAGTTAGCGTTATTCCATATTAGTTTCTTTATCAGATACATCACACAGTGAAATAGTATTATTTACTGGATGACATTTCGAAAAAAATTTATTACTGTTCATTATCATATCAATAATAATCACACGACTTCGAAGCTTGAGTTTTATAGTTTTCTTTGTTCTCTCCTATTTGTCGTCATTGGGGTAGCAGAATTTTCCAGATGTCCGGGTGAACAGGTGTTGAATCATTCCCATTACACGTGTTGATTTGCAGTTGATTCGATAAACAAACCTTCCGTTATCAATTTCTCCATCCGCTCCGTTATATCAGTCGGATTTTAAAACTGTCATCTCATCCCATCCTATTGTATATCTGGTTGTGTGTAATTGCATGTAGTGTTTACAGTGGTGAAATGTCTAAGTAATAGAGCACAAAAACTAAGTAGTACCAAGGAAAATCAAAGACAAGAAGTGATGCATATGACAGAACCTTTGAAACTTAATAATTACCCTGATAAATTAGGCAGGAAATATTTAGGGAAATGTAAAAATAAAATAAATAATGATAATAGTGATAGTGATGATGGTAATAATAATATTAATGACGACATGCATGTCAAATATACGCAAGACAACACCAACAATAAGGAATCTAAATCATCAGTAGTAATTCCATACAAGGAAGGAACCTCAGAAACCACCTTACGAAGAATTCTTAACAATGCTGGCAGGAATAAAAGTGGCTGGCATGGAAACTGCCCCAAAACTCAATTGGATACAAGCTTTGTTGGTTAAGGGATCCTGCCAGTGGAGCCTTTAAAACAAAACAATTTAGTTTATCTAATACCCTGCGGGAGTGATCGTCAGGTCAAATACATACATCAAACTAGTAGAACAGGGGCAGTCAGTTAGACTAGCCGAACATAAAAACCTAGCAGCAAAATCTAGATTAGTTTACCCGAATAAAATAATAAATCTAGAGTGTAGTTTAGCTATACCACTCACTACATGCAGTTACACACAACCATACAATAGGATGGGATAGGATGACAGTTTTAAAATCCAACTGATATGACGAAGCAGATGTTGAGATTGATAACAGAAACTTTGTTAATCGAATCAACTGAAGAGAACACGTGTAATAAAAATGATTCAACACCTGTCCAGCCAGATATCTGGAAAATTCTACTACCCCAACGACGACAAATAGGAGAGAACAAAGAAAACTGTGAAACCCCAAGTTTTAAAGTCGTGTGATTATGACTGATGATGAAATGATTATGAACAGCAATAAATTTGGTTCGAAACTGTGTCATCCAGTAAATAATACTGTTGCCCTCACAGTGTGATACGTCTAATAAACAAACTAATATAGAATTACTTACTACCACAGTACCCAAGTTTTACACACATATTAATATCAGTTAACGTTGCCCGTCGAGGAAGGCGATGGCTAGGCATGCGTAACACATATCCTAGCCTTCTCAACCGATGCAGCTTCACAACCTCTTCGATTGATTCCCCCTCTTTTCCTAGTAACACTCAACCGAAGATTAACCACAACAGTACTCACCCTATTACACTAAATAACACTGGAGATAGAATGTAAGTTGGACAGTCTACATCTCCCTATATGGCTGCCTTAGATCAACAGTCTGCTCCACCTTTAACGCTTTTCTTACCTATTCTAATGTCAACTAACAATGCTCAACAATGTCAGAGGCGTCTTGACATGCGTAATACGTTTCCAAACTTGACAACTTGAAGCAATATACAATGGTATGTGCCTATAAGCTAATCTCTTATTCTAATTACCCCTGAGAGTTTATAACGGTTGGTTGTTTTTGTACTGTTTCACACAGAGGGGTTTATATTTTTACGAGTTGATCATGGATCGATATCAGTTAGAGAACCATTGAAAACCAGCACTGGAGTACTGGACAGCTGTTTCATCCTAGCTTGGGAATCGTCGGCAGTACGCACCTACCCTATTGGGGTTCGAACCCAGAACCTCGTTACAAGGCAAGCTAGCTGGCTCGTATACCATTCAGCCACTGGGACCCGATTCAATGGCCAGCCCATGAATTCTAACTTCTACCAATTCGTGATTTAGCGCGACTCCCCAAACTAGGATGAAACAGCTGTCCAGTACTCCCTGGTTTTCAATGGTTCTCTAACTGATATCAATCCGTGATCAACCCGTAAAACATAACTAATCCTTACAAACCAAACTATACAAAGTTAATCTGATGCTCGCTAGTGACTTGCTACAGGTTGGAGTTTCCTGAGTTCTAGTGAGAAGTCGTGACCAGTGAGGTCCAATTAGATGTCACGTGTGTGGATGGATGTCCCGCCAACGACAGTGGTTGGGATCGAGCTAAATCACGAATTGGTAGAAATTAGAATTCATGGGCTGGCCATTGAATCGGGTCCCAGTGGCTGAATGGTATACGAGCTTGAAGGTCCTGGGTTCGAACCCCAAAGCAGTGGGTGCATACTACCGATGATTCCCAAACTAGGATGAAACAGCAGCTGTGCAGTACTCCCTGGTTGGTTTTCAATGATTCTCTAACTGATATCCATCCGTGATCAACTCATAAAAACATAACTAACCCTTACAAACCAAACTATAGAAAAAAAAGAGAGGTATATAGCTGATGTATGAGTTACTGAAATACACACACATACACACACACACACACGAAAAACAACTTGAAACTTACAATTCCTGTCCATTATATCATACATGATATTGTCTAGTTCATATGTTAGAGTGTTATAATGTATACGATTTGCACTGACTAGTGTTCTCTGTCATTTTGAAACAAAACAGAAAAATAGAAGTGTGAACACTATGAAAAGGCATAATAAAGAATGCAGACAAGCAATAAATTTTAATGATGCATTTTTGTAGAAATTTATATTGATTTGAATGAAGATTTCTTGACGAACTAACATTAATTCACAGGAGTTGGTTTGTATGGATTAAATTATTTTTACAAGTTTGACCACGGATTGATATCAGTTAGAGAAAACCATTGAAAGCCAGATGGGGTGGGGGGAAGTACTGGACAGCTGTCTCCTCTGTCCTAGTTTGGGAATCATCGGCAGTACACACCCACTGCCAGGGTTCGAACCCATCCGGTTACACGGCAAGCTAGCTGGATCGTATACCATTTTCAGTGCGATCACCAACCAATGTCATTGGTGGGAAATCAATCCATCCTGACACTTGACTGGTTGGAGCCGTCGGTGGTCGCGCTAAATCACGAATAGGTAGAAGTTAGAATTCATGTGTTGGCCATTGAATCAGGTCCCAGTGACTGAATGGTATACGAGCCAGCTAGCTTACCTTGTAACCGGAAGGTCCTGGGGTTCGAACCTTAGCGGTGAGTGTGTACTGGTGATGATTCCCAAACTATGATGAAACAAACACCTGGCTGTCCAGTACTCTCTAGTTTTCAATGGAACTAACATTAGTTATAAATCATTGAAAGACAAGGGGCGATAAACAGATTTTTCATCCTAGTTTAGGATTTCCTTAGTACCACACAATCGTGATCACATCGGAGATCGAACCTAGCACCTTTAGATCACGAGTCATTCCCATGGATAATGCAGCCAGTAAAAAAAGTCATAACTATAAGTAGTATACAGTGACTGGAAACTGAATTATTGATTTTCTTTTCGGGAATTCATCAAATGGTTAACCGATAAGATCACTAAGGCTGATGTTGACTAGTCTCAGTAATTTGGCACATTGACTGGGAAGCAAGAAGACAGGTATACAATGGAGTGACAAAAGAGCAGAGAAGATTTAGATTCCGTGGGTGATTAATGTATCCTGTCTCACAGACTCTAGAAGTAACAAGCGAAAAGGCAGGCAAGACATCACTTCAGTTGAATGTGGAGAAGACAGGGGCTTTGAAAGCGATCAACAAACAACAACAAACTTCAATCACCATAATAATAATAATAATAATAATTTACTTTATTCCAAAACAGTACTTGTGATACAGAATGGAATTCTCAGCATTTTACTACAGTATTGCATCAAGTTAGTACATTATCAATCAATAAAATTCTACATAGATTAAGGAAATCTCAGTTCATTATGACAACAACATATTGGCATGTCGGTAGCAAAGCAAAAAAATTGAACAGAGTGTTTGAAGGTGTTAGAAAAGTAGATACTACTAGCATATTTACTGGCGTAAGCGGTAACAAAAAGGTCGAGATATACACAGTGTGAAAGAACGAAGAAGAATGTTTTAAGTAGAGTTAGTAAGGAAGAGAGAAGCAGAGCAGCACATAACAGAAAAAAGAGAAAAGGTAAAGAAAGAAAGAAAACGTTGTACCTATAAATGATATGAGTTGGAAAGACGAGATCCAGTTGTTCTACTGACTATTTAATAAGTTATAGGTATCACGCCTAATGCTTTCTTTATCGCAGAGAACACGAGCTAAGTAGGGTATGGTTGAGTTTTTGTAGTTACTAGTGCGAGCATGTAGTTTTCTATATAGGCTTCTGGTCTAGTCTGGCCTGATGACATACAAGAGGAGAGTTGTGAATGAAGAGGGTGTTGGTGTGAGTTAGATAGATAGAATGAATTTAGCCCATTTTTCACATGAGTCCAAATGCCTGTCCACCAGAACACTAACAAGCTGGTTAAGTGGCACGTAGCTTACCCTGCTGACAACCTTTACCATCCTACGTAATAAGATATCTGTCTGTCTGTGTGGACTCAACATAGAACTTGGCACCGAAATGCAGCAGAGTTCGAGTTGCCTTTTTCCAAATAGCACACAAAGGTAGACAAGAAGATGAGTGAAGAGAATCAGTGGGGTTTGACAAGTATAAGAGTGAAACTGAATGGGTAATGGTAGAAAGGAATATGAAAGATTACAGAAACTGAATACATATGCGCCATTGACAACGATTTTGAGCCATGTCACCACCTATTGTCTCCAGCCATTGATTCTTAGAGTCAGTCCCGAGGGCCCCAACCCGGGAGTCTGCATCTCCCTACCTGACCGACTCAGTTTAACTGTCAAGGAGGATTTCATGGATTGATGAGGCCATGTTTTTGTTTGGCCACCACTGGCTCTTTTCCAACCTGCACCCATATCAGCTAGCAATGCCCGTCGGGAGCGGCGGTGGTTAGGCATGCGCAGCACGTGACCTAGCCACCTTAGTCTTTCTTCAGTAGCCCAGGAAAAACTAAGGGGGGGAGAACAGTAGAAAATAATGGACAAGATAGAATAGAAGAAATCTAAAAGAAGCAGTCTCCTCCACGTACATTTATCTGCCTAGGAACCGATGCTGATGTCAAAGTCAGAGACCATCAGATCTGTCCGGGAAAGTAAAACAGCCATTCATTACTCCGAAATCAATGTGTATGCACCCAACATAAAGAAAAAGATTTGGATTTTCAACACTAAAGTCAGATCAGTACTTCTATATGATTCAAAAACTTGGCAAGCGAATCAACAAAAGCAAATCCAACAGTCGCCCTTGGTCAATATAGAAGATCAGATAGCCCGAAAAGATAAGTGACGAGGAATTCTGACAACGAACCATTTAAGAACTTATCACCAAACAGATAAGCTGAAGTAATTGAAGGTGAACTGGACATAAGCTGAATAGACTGTTGATTAACACACACACACACACACACACATACACACCGTTGCAGAGTGAAGCCCGATCGGGAAACAACGAGTTGAGCACAGGAGGGCGACATCAAGGAGATTGTGTATGGCAGATAAGATGAAAGCTTATAAGTGACTGTGAAACCAGCTTAGAAAGACTGCAGAGAAGAGAGTGTAGTGGAGATACTCTGATGAAACCCCTGGGTTTTTACTCGGAAACGAAGGGAATAATTAATAATAGTAATAATATAGTAAGTACACTGAAACCAGAAATACTTATCACTCAATGAAAAGTAAAACACTAGACTTACTCTATAATTTGCTCTTTCTATTGGATCTATCCCATGCAATCTCAACGCTTGTGTTTGCTTGATAACTAATTCACTTTGAATAAATAAATTATTGATTGGCGTTAGTGAAAGATATTCATTCCATATTAATCCAGTCAAATTCAACGCAAATGTATCTTTCCACCGTGAGGAAATCTACAGATTTTAACAGTAGAAGAAGTAGAAGGCATGAAAATGTTTGAATTAATAATTTTTATCATTTTATTAGAATTTTTATCTATTTAAAAATAGACAGGGTTATTACTTAAGAAATGTAGAAGTAGATTATTCGATTCACATTTTTAGAGAGAAAATCTCACTGATTAGTCTTCGAGTTACTCCCGTCCATGATTTAGCGGTGGAATGCTTGCCAGTAATTTAGAGGGTCATGGCTTAATTCCTCACTGACGCAATCATAAACCTCGCATAGTTTACTAGCCATTGGTAAGCCCGATAAATAGGGAAGATTGGAGTGGGGTGGAGCGGAGAGTCTAACAATCATGCCCCGTATGAATAACACCACTCCTACTGAAACTTCAAGGCCTGAAGCCCTATATTCCATCTGGAATACAAATAAAAAGGCTATATCCTGTAATTTTGTCAGAACGTTGTAAAATCCTCAAGTTTCTGTGTGCTTTCAAAATGAGCTTGGTTTCTACGTCAATTAGTTTAACATTGGCTGTTGTTGCTATTGTTCATTGACAAAGTAACTAAGTTTCATTCATAACCTATTTATATTTGCATAATTCAAAGAAAGACTTATTTTGAATGATCCAAGTAATTCTTATCGAAAAAAAACAATAGACTAAGACTACTTCAATGTCTCACTTCGTGATAATCTTTGCACTAAGATTAATTTACTTTCTTTATGAACTCACTTGCTCATCAGATCTTTTAGCCACATAGTTATTGTGTGAGGTCTGATTATACTACCTCTTTGTCTAGTCTAGAGAAGGTAGGGTGGCTTTTGAACCTAGAGTTTGATAGCTGAAAGTTGGGTGCTGATGTCAACGACCAACGTCCCCGCGTATTCTGCTGTGTGATGGTTATAGCTAATAAACTTGTCCTATGATTTCAATCTTATCTTATCTGTAATACAAATGTCTGAGGTTTTCTCTAATTGGTTTTAAGCTAATAAATAATGAGAAGCATCTAAATGTCATAAAATCCAATTAAAATTTAAAGTATGAAAGGAGATTTTATCAGTAATTGACTTCAAAATGGTCAACAGAGTTCATTATTATGAGAATTTTTGTATATTCCAATGTGTGGGAAATGCTAGAACTCTCATTACAATCAATGTCATGTAGCCAAGTCCCGAATTTTTTCAAGGTGTTAAAACTAAACATGATTTGGACGTATATAGTTAACAGTATATAAATGTTGGGCCTTTTAATGGGTTTGATAACATGATTATTTTTTTTTATTAATGTGTACCATATGTGCATCTAAGCTCATATTTAGCATGTTCTTCGTGCTACTCAACCCTAAATTCCTCTAGAGTGTTCCTGAAGTTAATTTAAACCATCCATAATAAAGCAAATCTTTGAGCTTGTCTATTATTAGTAGTGCTTAAACATTAAATTAAATACTGAGTTTATTTCTGGAGTCTTTAGGGGTTTCTTTTAAGACGTTAAAACAAGATCAACTGAACTTCTTCTGAAAGTAAATAACACGATTAATGGATTACTTTTTTGTTAATCTGAAGATGAATTACTGTTAGATCAAGGTGAGGTTAGAGAAAGATTAGGATTAGGTTTGACTAAAAGACCCAAATTCGCCCTCTTATGGTAACATACCGTTAAAGCTGTAGTTCGTGCATTCATCAGGGTGACTATGCTTCAAAACTGCCACACGCATATCTGCCTTTTATACACATAGATGTGATAGGCACACAGTTCTTCGAATACCATGATCGCCTACCGTGCACATGGTCTGGGGTTCGATCCCCGACCGACGCACTCCTTTACCTTGCTAAGCCACTTATAAGACTGGTAAAGAAGGAATGTTGAGCATGAGGCTAGCAACCTCATCCTGTAAAAATAGACACTGCTACAGAAACTTCAGGCCACCAGCTTGAAACCCAATGTTCCATTGGGGAACGTGAAGGAAAAAAATAAATAAACTCTCATTAAAAGTAGAGATTGAAAGGTACAATGAAAACCGCTTCACAGACCCATAAAGCCTTGACACCCATCATATGTGTACAGTACCCAGCTAGCATTTTCTTCGAGCGCATTGCAGAACGTAGGACAATCATCTGCAGTCTGTTCCAAAGATTCTGCAGTGCGCCAGAAGTCGATGCTAGCTAGGGTGGCTTGTTGGAATACATAAAAGACATATTTCAGGCTCAGTATATTTATATATTAAGTCACAGTGTGGGTAAAGTACCTACTTTTAGACTGCATGTTATTGGGATAAATAGACGTGCGCCCATTACACTTAAGTTTACAATGTTATTCAGAGTGATGGAAATTTCAATAGCTTTTGACACTGACTTTCCAGCATCTCTGGCTGGAAAAGGAATAAAACTTTCATGAGTGACATAGTCGAATGATCCAGGAAGCATATTGCTTCTTACTGTGTTCAGTATATTATCTGATCCTGACCACATTTTGAAGTCAACTTGATTATACTGATCAACTGTAGGTATCCAGATGAATGCTTGGTTTATTTCAGGAATACATGGGCCTACATTTACAGGGATGTATTTGTAGAATGGCCATATGTCTAAGAAATTTTCATGAAGATTACAAGCTTGAGTAATTACTTTTCAGGTAAGATAAAATAATAACCGGTCCAATGAAAAGAATAAACGATGTTATGAGATAGAACAGAGATGTTTTCGAGAGAAATGTTGTCTTGAAAACCTTCTCCTCCGGATGGTGAAAAATTTCAACCATTGCGCTGTTAGCAACGCCAAAATCAGGCTGTGATACAACATACCATTGAGGATGTAAAACAAGAAAATATCTAAAATTAATGTCTCTTGATTTTAATATGGAGACTATGTTCGAAGTGTATCAGACATGAAGTTATTGGACTTGAAATTCCCAATACTTCTTTCAGGCTTACAATTTCTCAGTGCTCTTTAACTCAAGATATATTAACATATCTCAGCCGTTGGAATTCGATATTAAATCTTAGTTCTTCCTTTCTCATTTGACATTCAGAAAATTTGAAGTCGCTTCATTCCCCGCAAACAAATTCCCGCATTTTAGTCTTCTTTTTTTCAGAATCCTTCATTAAGGTAGTGTCACCACTGACATTGTATTACAATCAGTTTTGTATCCTTTGGTTAAAAATTCATCCTTGGTTTTATTTTATCAGCCCTCTGATATTTTCCAAACTTTGAAGTTGAAAACTTCCTTAGCACCTACTTGATAAACCTTTAATTCTTCTCGGTAATACAGACGGAAAGAACCACTTCGATCTTCACAATTAACTCAAGTAAAATCAATAAATGCCTACCAATCACTTTTTGTGAAGAATGATGTGCAACGGGAGAAATGCAAGCAACGGTTACTGAAAAGTGTACGAGCGCGAAGACAGCAGCATGCGAGCCTTGTTCCTATTTCCCAATAGTGTTTCTTTAAAGGCAGCTGCTGCTTCAAGCCATATATAACAAAAAATATTAATGTTAGCCAACACTTCGAGAGACCTCAGCATACCGATGATGAAGGGAATAACCGCAATCCATATAGCGGTGATGCTTTCAAAATTATCCTGAGGAGAAACAAGTTTATTTAGACGCCATTAAGACGTGTGAATGAAACCACCCTCAGGAACGTTATGGTCACACGCTAAAAACAATAGCATCGTACATTTTCGTGCAAGTAGCCCTCTGTAACGGTGCGATAACTTCTTCAATTTAAGTGAATGAAAACTTACTAACGCCTTATGCAAGCACTGGGGGGAGATAAAAGTATGGAGATGTGCTGCCATTCGCGGGAGGCACTGAGGGGAAGCACTGTGAATCAGCTTCGGTGGGAAACATAATAAATATTTCTAAAAGGAAAGTTTATAGTTTTCATCGAGTAGAATAGTTTAGTGAATAAGCTGGCCTGGTGGCGTATGTATACACAGTTTTGCCACTAAGCAGAGTATTCCAAAATGTCTGCTTTTCTTGGTGCCATCCTTTTGCTCGATAGAATTCCAGGCTTATATCCGGCTCAGTTAGGCAGGAATCGTTGATTGATACGAGTGGATGATAACCCAAATCAACAGATGATGCTGTCTACACATAGTTAGTATGAGTAGGTAACATGGTGCGCAAGATCTGTTTTATCTGTGAATTCTAAGCAAGAAACTGGACTGTGAGTAGCAGCAACGCCATGCTAACGGGGAAGCAAAGGATACGCACCGAAGTAAATATTAGTTTACGGTCCACAAGCGAGGGAAATCAACCGAAGAGTTTCAATAACCTAGGAGTTCAGAATGAAATTACTGCACTCAGAAAATGTGTCATATGTTCATATCGAGAAGGATTCTGAACTTAAAAGACTAATCGGTGCACCAGAATACAGAATGCGGTAACCAACGACAGGGCCTCAGAAACGGATTGGCAATACGAAGACTGTTTTGTTCCCCGCTATCAATTAACCAGACCTGCAGGACTAGAAGGTAATAAGTCTGTGTATAAATGTCAGTGTAAATCAAAGCAATACTTTTGATCATTTCCGCCAGTCCACCGCCGACCAGCTTCGATTAGACCATGACTGCCATCCTTTCCCAGTAAAATGGAGATCATTGAGAATAAACAGAAAATGTCTCGCCAACTCTGACAACACGTCTGACATCGCAGACTAGCAGCAACGAAATTCAAGCAGGATATAACCCACTCTGAACGCTGAACAAAGAGAATGTGTCTACATATGTACAGAAAGCTTCCCTCAAATCTGAAAACAGTCGCAAATTTTGGGGTAGCATTCTCAGGTTTGACCTTTTCTGATCATGCAAATAAGGTTGTACCTGATTGTAAACAACTCACTGGCTGCGTAACTTTTGCACCCAAGAAGCAGGATCAGCTGTAAATGAGAGGTGTATTCGCCCAAAACTTGAGTATTGCACTCTCCTACATAATAACCCTAGGTGTGAAGACCGAAACAAGTAAATACGTTAACAGGTGTGTACTACTGAAATTAAGACCACTGTGGTTAAGGAGAGTGAAGTTCAACTTATTTCTGCTCTCCAGAGTCACTAGGAAACATTGTTGTAGTAACTCATCCATAACGTAGGAAAATATGAAATCATATCAGCTGCGAAACCACGACTATCTTGTCAAGGTGGCTACCCACAGAAAATCCATTAGGGCAAACGTTTTCACCATTAAATATTGCACTATTTGGAACCAACTACCATCTGAAATAAGATGTTGTAAAAACCCTGACGGGTTTAAACGGAGCCTAGAAACACACCTTAACATGTCCAGCCTAGACCCCAACTCTTGATAGAATGATGAACGAAAGCCAGTCCAGTCTTCAGTATAGTCACTTGCGTATAACTAGACTCCACTACCTACGCAGCGAACGTCTGACTAATTTACCGATCTTCTATTCTCCATAATCTTAATAAGTTGTTGCTATTTAATGTGTCGAAATGACTTTACTCAGTCAATAACTACATTTACTCATATACTTTTCTGAAATGTATGATTTTATAACATTTTGCAGTATTTTATCCAATAACATAAGCAATGTCTGACGCATATCGGATGGAAATCAGTCATCGAAATTTAGCATAACAAGTTCAGTTAACCAGCTGTTTTCTTCAAGACCATCCTACATAACTTTATCACTAATTTTTCCACTACTGATTCCACTCTGCTAAATAGACTTTAACTTAGTTACTGTAGCACTGACTACTTGTATACTTTATAATTTTTAAGAAAAACAGTTACCTAGTCGTTTGCAATGACTACTTGTATACATGTATGCGTGTATAAAGGTGATACTGCTTAGAATATCCTCAGGTATCGATGCATCTGGTGACCTGATGGGAAGCGTATGCCATGAAAGCTACCAATGTGCAGCATACTGTATGATTGGGACGGGCTCAAAGCAACGCAATGCCGTAACTACAGTTATTGCAGAAAACGAGAAAGCCTACAATGACAAAACAGGGAAGGTGGCGCATGCTAATCAGCAGATATGGTGGTGGTCACAAACGTGAATCGCTCCAATCTGTAGGACAACAACATGCATTTTTTGGTAGCTCGAGAATTAAACATTGGTCTAGACCCTTAAAAAAGGCAATAAGGGTTGCGCAGATCTAAATAATCAAAAAGGATGCTTTTGCCCTCACAATCTACAAGCCTGTTCAGCTTCTTGTCAAAGTGCTATTCCATGGACCCCACAAGAAATCGGGAGACATCTGTCAGGTAAGCTTATCCCACGGGTTCTAATTTTCCAGATCTTTGAGTTCACTTCTCGCTGATATATCACTTATCTACTTCACGATAATCCTTTTATTTACGCACCATTATGCTCTATTTTATTTTTACTACCTAGGCCTTTATTATAGTTAAAACTTGCTTTTTGTTCATATTTGTTGCTTACCTAAATTCCGGTTTCTTTGATTAAGAACACAACAATACCAATGTTTGAACAGAGCTATATTTTCAACTAAAACCTCAGAGTTTCCACGCTTACAATGATATGGTTAGCATTAAACATTGCAAATGTATGCTATCATTCCAAGGAGTCTCTATTTCCTTATTGTACATATGTCTTGTAAATGTACTTCCATTGATATGTTATCCATATTGTATTTTATGCCATTTCACAGTTTCCCAGGACATCGTTCCCTTCCTTAAATGGCTTTCAATCACGTGGTGCTGTCCACTGGTTGACCATAAGTATCAGCAGGAAATGGAAAGTAATCTGGGTTGTCGCTGATAATTTTTTATACTTCAGGATTGTAATTTAAAGCATAACTCATTGTGCCAGTAAAAATGGCATGCACTTCTGATAATCTTGCCCATTATAAGAAATACAAATTACTATTATTACTAATCCGTTTCTACGAATAACATGCAGGTTCATCCACTAAGTTTGTAACAACAGAGGACAAGGGCCGGCAACGGATCTTTTTATTACGGAAATCATCACGTATTTATATATATTTCATGTACATTATTATAGCCTATTCAAACAGACAAACACAGTCTTCTGACTGGTTGTTTCTGGTTTACCGGAAAGTTAAGCCATATATTTGCGAATTTTATTTGCCCACGTTAAGTCTTCTGTGATTGGTTGTTGAATCAGCCTTGTTCATATTTACTCATGACCAATATTAGTGACCTAGACATTGAGGTAAATTAATGTCTACCGATTGGCTAGCAGCCCCGCTGTCACCACAAGGTAACAAGGAATAACCAGTGGGAACAAGTCCACATGGATATGTGTGATTTTGTGGGGGGAAGCACGAAAGGAAATCAGAGTACATATTATCACTGACAATGTAGTAGGTGGCTTCCTCATGAATGTCGAAATATAGGTGTCTAGTGTTTACTAATTTCAGCTCCCAGTCACTTTACTAAGCGAAATGTCTGACAATGAAATGAAACCTCTTGAGTCTTAGGCTTCTATAATGAGCCGGGCTAAAAGCTTGATCTGGCTAAGTACAGCCAGCACTAATTGAAGGATTCTTAGATAGTCAGCCTTATCATTAACAGCTAGAAACAGCATCCATGTTTTTGTGTGACCACATCTTGACTGATTTACTTCCTAGGCACACAATTCGTTTTATCGTAAACGAGGGCCACTAAGGGTCCGTACATAACAACGACCATGTAATGAAGACAGAATATTTCATTTGAGCCTATTCAGTGATTTATTTTGCTTAAAAAGCATTTTGTGATTGTGTGGCCATACAGTCTTTATAAAATTCAGGTGTGCAAAACATGGTCATCTCCGAAGCCCAGTTAATGTTACCAATGCTTCGTGTTCAAAATGTCATAAAACTCAGAAAAATGACTCAGGTTCAGCTAACGAAGTACCCAGGGACGTCTTAAATAAACTTCTTCGGTGTATCCGGTAACCTCAAATGTAGGGCTTGCCGACTGTCCTGGTTTACTGAACTTTTACCGATATATCAAGCATCAGCACAACACAAGCAAGAGTCAGGCATTTATGAAAGGGATGAGTTGAGAGTAAGCCAGAGATGCGGAAAGTCATCATGGGTCAAGGATCATTACGAGGTGGAAGAAGAGGGGAAGATAATGAACATGATAGGTCCTGTTTGATTATTAATCATAATTCCTTATGTTGCACGACGCGACATCGCCTGTCAGATTCTCGTAGTTTATCTATGAAATTAATTTCAGTCATGATACCTCATTGTTAAGAGTACGCGGCCAATTGCAATATTTGTTTTGAAACTTAACTGATCTATTACACACTATTGTGTTTTTTTAAATGCAACCTTCCTTCTGTAATTAAAATATCGCATTATTCACAATTCCTACAAATCCTGAGAGACGTTCAAGATACAAAACTGATGGACATGACTAATCTGTACGCACTATCTTGTGCACACGGATTTACATGACACAGTAGGCATCTCCCTATTTGAAGATGGAGTTGTGTGTGATTCACAATGGTGACGCAGTAAGTATCTATTAATTGCCTATAGAATTCAGATTTCGTCATCGACCCGAATCAGCTGCAGAATGTTTAAAAACTGCAGAGCCCCTGGTTGTCTCATAATACATAAGAATTTTGGGTCTGACCTCAAGTTATGAAAGAGTCACCCCTTTCCATTTCCTTGTTTCGAAAGCCATTCTATTTAGATTCATGGACTGAAACAAGGGAGATGGCTCCTGTCATTTAGCAACTAATCTCATTAAAATGAGTAGCACAGAATGGGTCGGATAAAATTAGTCATATTTTCTCTTTTGATTGCCTTCTTCGAGGTCACTTCAAGAGTATCTAACAACAGGATTTTCCACGAAAGACTGCCCAATCCAAGTTTTATGAATTTATCTTTCGATGGTAAGGACCACTTATTTTCTCCAAATGGTAGATGGCTTTACGATCGACCGATTTCTTTTCATCTGGGCATTTGCAGTCCTACCCTGCTCACTCAGTCTAGCCTGGTTAGTCTAAGTTTTGAGTAAAAAGGTGAAGTGTGCCTATAATTATGTCACCATGAATTCCATAGTAAATAACTGAATTTTACACTTAAATAACTCATTTTCTTATGAGTAGACACCAGAATATCATGAGAATACACACCAAAAATAACTTAGGAGGTTATTTAGCCAATATTTTTAAACATTAAATTTCAAAAGACATTGAACAGTAGTCTTTGGATTTAGATATTGGAAGTGTTGAAACACAGTATATAAAGAAGTTGATTGAAGGGTATATTGTAGCGCTCTCTTGATTTTTCGATGATTTATCGTGTGTTCATTGTACTTTTTACTATCTGGTTCTGTGATTCCAGAGTAATATCTACGAATTCCAAAGAGGATGACAGAATTGTTGATTTGCCAGGTGTTGATACTCCGCCAATTTTTAAGCAGTACTCTGGATATCTGAGTGGGGCTGATGATAACATTCAGCTACATTACTGGTTAGTCGAATCTTCATTTGATCCAGAGGCGGCTCCTCTCCTTTTATGGCTTAATGGTGGACCCGGATGTTCGTCTCTAGAAGGACTGGTTTCAGAAAATGGTCCATATAAGGTGGGTATATCCATAAAATGTTCCCTCTTTCAAATTCAATTACTACTTATAACAGCTGTTTTTTTCTCTGTATTCTCTGCCATAACCAGTTGCAGATTTAAATATTATTTTATTTGGTATGTTTAGACGATACAATTGGTCACATAACACTATAGCTTGTAGTTACCACTTCTTTATAAGTGTATCATTTTGCAACTGTCATGACCCTAATTATTGTAAAAACTTGTATTCCTACGACAGATGTGCACTGAAAAATACTTTTTATTTTCAGCAGTGTCAGATCACATTCTTTTCAGACCTAAATTTTATACTTCATATTTTAAAAATCAAAATCCTGTTGTCCTCAAAGTTAGGAAATGGTGATCCAAAGGGAACGAATGCACTGATTAACTCGCACCGGTGAACGTAAAATGCCTAATTCAATTCCTAACCTTACTTTCCCCCGACCTAACCGAAATCCACATGTTACCAAAACTAATGTCTCCTTAACTAAGTTAACCTCAATCTTACATGTCTCTAGTTTAAATCTAAAACTAACCAGATATCCTATCTAATATCCTCATCTTTCATTCAACATCTTTTTGTCCATTAATATAATCTTATTTATCTGGTTTCACTAACTTAATCTGCTTTTACGATTCGAATTTGCTGTTGGACGCTATTATTTAGCCTGCCCCTTTTCGTTTAAGCCATCAGTTTATTTTGGTAGTTTTAGGGTAAACTGGTGTATATTCTTTGGCAATTTGTTTTGGCAATTAATTTGCACTTCAACCTCTAGCACGCCGTGTCGATTCTGAGAATAAAGTAGATGCTAGTCAGACACTTAAAGTTATCTATCTTGTTACAATTTACCTTAATTTTGATTTCCGAGTTCATCATCTAAATATTGTACAAATCATCGGAATTGACTTGCCGAATACAAACGTTTCAATTCAGGATAATTTTGAACATCCACTTTTCTTACTTTGGTCACCATCGCTGACTTCAAAAGTGTGACAATTCCCCATACCCCTACAGACTATTTACAAGTTATTTTTCTTGAATAAAACAAGAAGAACATATTGAGCAAGATAGAATGATGTCAATATATTTCATTGTTTCTTATCAGCTGCATAAAGCCACGAATAATTTCACATCAATATATCAGTTATTCACAAAGGTTAAGAATGTTTATATCACGTCATCAAATAGCACAATGGAAAGGAGTAAAGTTGGTCATTAAACTCATTAGACTCAAAATTTTCCAGAATTACGAAAGAATGATGCAAATTGAACAAACAAGTAAAATAAACAATACGCCCACTCATGAGTTGAACAGACTGAACAAAGGTGTCTGTCGACAGTGTAGATAAAGACAAAATTAGGATAAAAAATTACATTGGCGAAACAAAATACCTTTAAAATAACAAAATTAACAAAAATAGATTGCAGTCAAATAGCGTAAAGTATATTTAAAAAGATAAGGTAAGACTAAAAACAGCTCATTTTTGGATGCACAAGTTCAATTTTGTGCGTTTAATGGTGATTGCTTCAATGATAAGTAGAAATCTAATCTTATGCTCGAAATGAATTATGTTAGAGGATTTTAATCTACCGACTTCACGACTGGTCATGAAATGCATACCGAATGGTATGGATGCTTGATCACATACCTTCAGTGTAACAGTGTGACTTTAACAGTGAAAGTCATCAATTAATACTGAATGATGATATCAACTTGATATGATTATGAGCAATAGTTTGTGCTCAAAACGTCATCAGTTAATATAACTGTACAACACTGTGTGATTTATCAAAATGAAATCTTATCCATAATGGAGTTATACTCTACCACAGTGCCCAAGTTTTATACTTATATCAATAGGATGAAATAATCGGAAGTCCAAATATCTGTTTGAATGTGTGGGTTTACTATGAACACACTAGTGTGTGCTTAACTTCCCATCTTCTTTCCTTTTTAACGCTGCAATCTAACATTCGCAGCTCCACTTCCTGAATTTCCACTTCTTAAGTGAATTGAATTTCCTCAACCTTTGAGATGATGTGTTCAAAAAAATCTATCTATATCTTGTGTTATGAGTACAGTGAATGTGTCATCTAAATACCTCCACCATACTTTTGGGGTGGGGATGAAAGTATCAATCGCTATGTTTTCCCACCTATCCATGAATATATCTGCTACAACCGGGGATATTGATGATCCCATGGAAACTTCCTCAGTTTGTTTGTATATTTTCTCATTGGAATTTAAATACTGTGGACGTCAGGCATAGCTGTACGTCCACTGTTTCACTGTGTGATACACCTAATAAACAAACTAATATGAAATTACTTACTACCACAGTGCCCAAGTTTTACACATATATAAATAAAAATGTTTTTGTTTAGATTTTTTTTATTCTGATTTAAGTTTCTGTTTCACCTGTCATTATCACTCCTCTACAATTTTTAATTTTTATTTCAATTTAGCTTGTCAAAGGTCCAAAGCTGGTTGAAAATCAATTCTCGTGGAATAAGGTATGTATGTATGTATACTTAATTATTGTATTCTTATCAACTGTGAATATAATTACGACTGACTATTTGACTATAGGTTTCTAACAATTAATAGTGTTCTCTGAGCTGGTTGGTTTAGTTGCGGAGCTTTCGTCGTCCTTCTGGACAACACCTCCCTTCAGCGCAATATTTAGCATAAACTGAACTGATTTAAATTCTCCATGAGTGATGCAATTGCGTCTCCCGGTAACCATCTTTACACATATGTATTGATAATTTTCTATTGACTTGGATTTTAAAATTTCTGGTCACATGATCTACTTTTTATTAGTTGGTATATTTCGTCGTCTATATTAACGTGTTTGTTAATTGCATTTTCGTTTGAGTACCAGGCTTCTAGGAATTCCCTGACTGCACTCATGGTGTTTCCTCCGTCTAAAATTTCGAAATTATTCTGATCAAATTGATGTCCATAGTTATCTATATGCATTGTTATGAAAGAGTATATATCATGTCTTTTCACAGCTGATTTGTGTTTCTGGATTCTGGTTCGAAGAGAACGCCCACTTTGGCCGATGTGATGTCTATTACACTTCATACAATTTATTTTGTAAATGCTATTAATTTTATCTCCTTTTTCTGTTGGATGGGTCTTTCGGTTTGCACAATGTCGAATGAAGTGATTGTGCTGGCTGGTTTGAGTGCTATATCTATTTCAAACGGTCATAAAATATTCTAGCTGTTATCTTAGAGATATTTTTTTTGTATACGATAGGATAATTTAAATCAGTTCAGTTTATGCTAAAAAATTGCGCTGAAAGGGGATATTGTCCAGAAGGGGTGTTTGACGAAAGCTATGCAACTAAATCAAACAGCTCATAAAACACTATTAATTGCAAATCATGCAAAATCTCACTGCAAATCATTACAAAATCATGCAAATCAAAACCTGAGCTATAAATCTTCTCCATTATAGTTTTCTTAGTTTACTTCACCTTATTTCAAGCAGAATACCGTATTTTTCGAATACCATGCTTGGTACAAATGCCTCTTAATCATTCTTATGACTCATTAATCCCTGCAGCATATTTGTTTCTCTCTCAGTTTTGGTACTATTAATAATTTTGGACAGACAACCTATTATCATTGAAATAGGCTTTGCTTCCGAGATTTCGCCTTGGAATTTGTGTCCACAATGCAGGCGTCTAACACCTGGCAGACAATCTCTGTAGATTATTTTCTTCCGTAACTTTTCACCAGCTTTACAGCGGTCAGCAACTCTGATGCAGAAGCATGTTTTAAGCCTGTGACAGTAGAGATATGTGATAGACCTAACCATTAACAATAGGAGAGATATTCAGTCTAGATTTAAGGCAAACTGATAAGAGGTAATCATACAGTAGACTGTAGTCAGCAAGAACTGGAAATAATCAGACTACTTAGTTACTTCAGAGTGTGATTTAGTCCACTTGACACCCAAGCCACATGGTGTATATTTCTGTAATGACTATTCACAGTAAGCTGGCTAATACATTTATTCCCTTTGATGAATTTCAATGAAGCAAGAACAACAGTGACGGTTTATGCAGAATATGAAGATGGTACCATCCTGTGTTTATTTCATTGGCTTCTCATCAGCTCAGCTGATGCTTACAGCCTAAATAAATTATGAGGTTTATGTACAGAGAAGTGTTTAACATACTTGCAAGTTTCTTTCATCATGATGTCAATTGGCAGAAGGTTGCACAGTTAGTGAACAGTGCTCAGAAAATTGCGCTTATATAGTTTCTACACAGACAGTTCCAGTTTAATTTTCAAGTATTGGTTTTGAAGGGATTTTGTTTGATTGCATGGGAGATTTCACCATTGGTCTGACATCAGTTAGAGAACCACTGGAAACTACCGAGGAGTACTGGACAGCCGTTTTGGTCAGCCTAGTTTGGGACTCTTCAGCAGTACGCATCCACCGCCAGGGTTTGAACCCAGGACCTTCTGGTTACAAGACGAGCTCGTAGACCATTGAGCCACTGGGATCTGATCCAATGGTCCTTGAATTCTAACTTCTGCCAGCCAATTCACGACATAGCGCGACCACTTCGCAATGTCCTCTTCGATGAGTTACTGCCTCATCTTCGACCTGCTGTAGCCTACTGGTCACGGCTTCCCACTAGAACCTCAGGTTAACTGCCTGATGAATAGGGCCAGTCGCTAGTGAGTATCAGATTAACAGATTGACGATTTCTTCGGTCTGTCCTAATAATGCATCTATTCCATGGTCCCTCTCATTTACGGACCCAGTGGAATGTTTTCTGGGTTCAAGTAGTTCTAACCTTTTAAGGCTGTTTAGTGGGGTCGAATAGTTGCTGCGGATCTTTCAACCAAGAGAAGTTAGTCTCACTCAGCGGATCTGCAATCTAGTTGACGTCCTTCACAAAACGACTATAAAACACTGCTCTCCTCAAGAACTGTCGTGGCTCAATGGTCTACGAGCTCGCCTTGTAACCAGAAGGTCCTGGGTTCGAACCCCAGTGGGTGAGCACTGATGAAGAGTCCAAAACTAGGCTGACGAAACAGCTGTCCGATACTTCTAGGTAGTTTCCAGTGGTTCTCTAACTGATGTCAGCTCATGGTGAAATCCTCCATACAGTTCAAGCTTAAACAAAAATAAATCTATGCATACAATGGTAAAGGAGTTAAGTAATAAAGACGAGATATGCGTAAGATGCAGAGTGACGAATAAATTAGGTAACAGTGTGCTGTGTTCACCCCCCCCTTATAATCTGTAATTTTGCTTGTCTCTTGTTTCTATGATTTGAGTTGTACTCAGTACATTGTTACCTAATTAATTAGTCACTCAGCATCTTACACATCTCTCGTCTTTATTACCTAACTCCTTTACCATTCTATGCATGCATTTATTTTGTTTAAACTTGAGCTGCCTGTGTAGAAACTATATAAGAGCAATTTTCTGAGCACTATTCACTAACTGTGCAACCTTCTGCCAATTGACATCATGATGAAAGAAATTTGCAAGTATGTTAAACACTTCTCTGTACATAAACCTCATAACTGATTTAGGCTGTAAGCAGCAGCTGAGCTGATGAGAAGCCAATGAAATAAACACAGGATGGTCCCATATTATTCTGCACAAATCACCACTGTTGTTCCTGCGTTATTCAAATTGGCTAGTCCTATCACTGGTTCTTATATGAATCACAAGGAGAAGATGAGAATTACGTGTAACTTCCGAAAAAGTCTCACCAATTATTTTCAATGAAAAGCAAACCAACAAGGTGTATGAAGACACGATGCGTAGACGAACACGTGTGGTTTCCCCTTAGCCACAGAGGAAGTTTTATCATCAGGAGGTCTTCACAGCAGATAAACAAAAGTTTGCTTCAAACAAAGGGTAAACAAAATGTCCTTGAAACAAAAAGAAACTGTACAAAACTAACATTCACCTTCTCCATAGGTTCAAAGTTGTTGTTAACTTTAAGTTATCCCGTGATGGCAAGTTAGAAAATAGAAAAAAAAACTAAAATTTCACTAAAATATTAATGACTCTATTTATATTTGATTAGGCGATTCACAATTTTTGAAGTAGGAACGATAGATTTGATCCTTGATTATTTATGATTATTCGACAGCGTCGGTCGAGAGGTCACTTGGCAACTACTTCGCTACTACGGGGTCCCATCGACAATTATACATCTCATCCAACAGTTAGTTGTAAGACAATGCTGCATGCCAAGTAATCCACAACGGGAAACTTACAGAAGCCTTCAAAGTGAGGACGAGAGTGAGGCAAGACTGTCTACTATCACCAATGATCTTCCTGATTGCAATTGATTGGATAATGCGACAGACAACGGCAACCAACGAGGGAACAGGCATAAAATGGACTCACACAAAAATCTTGGAGGATCTGGACTTCGCCGATGATATATATCTGATTTCCCACAAGCAACAAGTTGGCCATAGAAGAAGCATCAAAGATAGGACTTCAAGTGAACATAGATAAAACAGAGGTGATGAAGATTCCTAGCCAACATCAACAGCAACAACAACAACAGACAACAATCAGCCAGCATGAATGGGAAGAACCTGAAAGAAACAACCTCCTTTACCTACCTACCTGGGAAGCATCGTCTCAACTACAGGCGGAACTGACGAGGATATCAAAGCCAGAATCGGAAAAGCAAGACAGACTTTCATTACCCTTATGTCTGTGAGGAGGTCAACAGCACTCAGCATCAAAAATAACATCTGGATTTTCAACTCCAATGTGAAGTCAGTGCTACTTACTGTACGGATCAGAGACTTGGCGCATCACAAAGAGTACCTCAAACAAACTACAGACCTTCATCAACAGCTCTCTTCGCTCAATGCTAATCGAGATCAGATGGCCGGCCAGAAAAGATCAGCAACAGGGATATCTGGGAGCGAACCAACACAGCAGGAACCGATTGTGAAACAAATCTGCAGAAAGAAATGGAGATGGATTGGCCATACGCTGAGGAAACCATCAAGTGACATCACTAGACAAGCTCTCGAGTGGAACCCGAAAGGGAGGCGGCGAGTTGGTCGTCAGTGCAAGGGTGACTTGGAGGAGGTCAAGCAGGGAGGAGATGAAAGCATGTGGGTGGGAGACCTGGAGCAGGGTGAAAAAGTTGTCAGAAAACCGAAGGCAATGGAGGTGAGCAGCTGAAGCCCTATGTTCCTCTAGGAACTAAAGGATACAATAATAATATAATAATAATATTCCCTTGGGTTCCAAGTGGAACACAGGGCTTCCACAGAATATCTCCGTTTCATTTCGTGCTCATAAGCTGTAATTTCCTCCTCACAACACCTCCTCGAACTCACGTCCAACTGGTTGTTTCCCACTCCTGTTCCATTCGTGGACCTGGTTGGCACGTGATGTCATTCAGTGGTTTCCTTCTGAAAATTCTCTGGGAAATAAGTTATTGCTTGGTTCACTGGATACATGAGTTTGATTGTTTCTTATCTTCTCTGACTAACCGTTCATTTGATTGGTGTTCAGTATGCAGCCAGCGAAGTTAGCTAGTGAAACAAGTCTACAGTAGTCGATTAGAAATGTTTTAGTCAACTCAAGTACCAATTCTCTGAACCATACAGAACCGCTGACTTTCCTGACCTTTTTTTAAAAATTTCTTCACGTTCTCAATGGAACGTAAGGCCTCAAGATAGAGCTCTGAAGTTTCGGTAGCAGTAGTGTTTTTTATTTTTATAGAATGAGGTTGCTAGCCGTCTCATGCCCAATTTTCCCTCTTTACCAATCCTAATGTTGTCTTAGCAAGGTAAAGGAGTGCGTCTGTGGCCGAGGATCGTACCCCGTACCACCTGCGTGGTTGGCAAGCATTCTACCATTGTGCCACCTGATATTGGTGTTGCAAAGTTCGAATCTTTTTCTTTCTGCTGAGCGCAGGGGATTTCGATACTGAATTCACATCAATAAAGGTCTGTCTACTTCTGGTTTTGATATCTTCAACCGTGTCTTGATATGGCACTGAAAGAGGTGACGTGCTTCAAATTTCTCCCAGTGAAAGTAATTGGTGATGATCATTGTTGGTTAGAAGTATGTATTATGTCGATTGATTGATTGATTGGACCGAAGTGCTCGGTCAACTCAGGTTGACATGTCGGCTTCTTGTGTAGATGCTTCGACGATGTCTGGGCCTTTTAATTAGAAGTTAATTAATTGGTGGATGATGGCTAGCAATGGAATCCAGGTTAAAGTGAATTTCGTCCTATTGGGGACTCGTCAGCCAGTGGGTGTACCTGCATTCCGCAGTGAGTGAGCCTTGGTAGAAACCTCATGCAGGTATATTCACTGGCTGACGAGTCCCATATAAGACGAAATGCTCTTTATCCTGGATTCCATTGCTAGTCACCATCCACCAATTAATGAGTGTGTAACTCTGAATTTTATCCTTAGATTTGTTAAAATGTTTTGCATTGACATACATATCGTCTTTTTCTATGAGTCTCGCTCAATCTCTCTCTTTTTTTTTTTAAAGTTTGCCAATGTACTCTACTTAGAAGCACCTGCTGGTGTCGGCTTCTCATATTCTATCAATGGTAGTCTTCATACAGACGATGATATAGTAAGTTTAGACTGTAATAAATTTATTTCTATCATTTATGTTCAACACACAATGTGAGACACGTGATATTTTCTGTCAATTTCCTGGAAAATTGCCTTAACCATGATCATTGAGACAGTAGAATTTATAGTAATGATTATTGTTACAACATTAAAAGGAGGCACTTTTTAAAACCGTAATAAAGAGGTATAAAGGAGACTTATTAAAACAATTAGTCCCTTTGATAAACTTGAACAAGGCATTAAGAAGACAAATTTCGCCGCCAGATGATGGCATCATTTCGTAGTTTCTTTACAACCGCTTTACAACTAACATGGTTAACAATGATTACTCAGTTAAATTAAAACAAAAGTACATACTAATGACCAATCATATTTAGATAGGTCATGTAGTCCAGGGTAGGCGAAGATTGAAGTCTATTGATTTTTGTGCACACAGTTTAGGCTGTATGTGATTAATCCCCCAAAGTGCTTCCATCACCTTCAATAACCAACCTTGAATTAGAGTTATGTGGTGAAATAATTGTGAAACAGTCATTAATATTGATTTTGTGACCAGACATTAATAAGTGTTTTGCAATGGATGATGCTGGATTTCTATTAAGATTAATCGCGTTGGAATTTTCGATATGATTTACTAGCCATTTTTGGAACATGTTCTTTTCGACGACCACATTGGAACATTCTGTTAGTTCTACCTATATAGGTGTCACCGCAGCAACTGCAGGTGAACTTGTAGATACTGTTTGAAGTAGAGTCCACAGAATTTCGTCCTTTAATCGTAGGCACAGGGATCGAAAATGTTCGGCAAGTGAGAAAAAGAGATGTGGTGGCGTAGAATGTGCGTTTGATGGCTTATCGAAGTCTTTGAGTTGTCAACTGCATACTCTGGTCGCCCTTGAATGGTAGACTAATAAAGATAGCTTTCTTTGGTACAGAAGCTGTCTTTTTGAGATGTGGTTTTTCTTTACTGTGACAAGTTATAAGGCTCTCCGGATAACCATTAGCTAATAAAACTGAATGTACATGTCGAAGCTCATCCATCAGTGTGTCACTCGTGCATATTTTCCGGGCCCTGGAGAACAAGGAGTCTATCGATAACCTCAGGACAGTGTGAAGCGAGACTGTAAAAAAAAACACTAGAACAAGACATATAAGCGAACAATATTGCTGTTTTCAATTAGATCTTCTTCAGGTTTTACTCTAATTTACATAGATTTATATATAAGGAAACAATTTAACCATTGACGGTGATTTTGTGGATCAAATAATAATAATTTGGTAAATATTTTGAACGTAGTTAATAACGATGATTATAATGATAACAAAATATTGATAATAAGGTTTATGCGGGTGGCGATAAGAATAACAAAGGTAGTAATATGTGTGTGTATATGTAGACAATTCAACAAATAAATAAATTAGGTCAAATCTTAAAAGTTACGTAATACTAAAGGTGAAGTGGACAGACAATCAGAGTTTAAATAAATACCATAGAAATACGAAGGAGATGGATGATAAGAAAGGTGCGGAGGATTTTGAATAGAATTCACCTAGGCTAAGCCAACGGAGAGACAAAGGTAGAACAAACTTCTTTTGCTGTATGCAAAGACTAGGATTGTTCTCTCGAATTAACTCCCGTAGCTTCGGCTACATGTAAAAGACGGATTCGAATTCCATTCGAAAGGCTCGATGGAATGCGATAGATAACTTTGAAGGCACAATTTCTGTCCACTTGGTGACCGCTATCATCAATTAAATGAGCCAAAATAGAACTTCGTATGGATTTTATTTGACCTTTTCCGTACCATGAAGAAAGATGCTCATTAATGCGTTTGTTAAACTGCCTGGTTGTTTGTCCTATATAGCTCTCTGCATAGGAGCGGCTAAATTTATAGATACTCATAGCTAGGTAGTTTGTCTTTCACTTGAGCAATCATAATTGGCTGGCTGGAAAATGACAAACAAAGGGTGGCGGTATTATAAGTCCGACAATCTCAGATGAGCTCCTCCAACCGTTACACAAGATGGTAGTAAATCATAGGGTTAAAGACGTTTTTGAATTTATCGCTGACGTAGATGATATTAATGTAAATGGGAAGCGAATGCTATTCTTAGATGTAGCCTCACTGTTTACCAATGTACCGCATATGCAGACAGTGAAATTCATATGCCAACAGATACTAGAAAAACAGATCGACATCGGAATTCTAGTTATTGGTCTGAAAGAGTTGCTTTTAAGATGTACTATGAATGTACACTTCACATTCAACAACCTTTACTACAGACAAATCAACGACATTCCCATGGGTTCTCCAATGGGGCCAATTTTGGCAGATTTCTATCTTGCTAAGGTTGAAAATGGTCCATTGAAACAAAGAATAGATGAAACTGATTCTTATTTTCGCAATGTTGATGATGCATTCATTATTCTTGATGTGAAAGCTGACAAGAATGAAATGTTGCACATCCATCGCTATCTCTTAACAGGACAAGAGAAGGACAATGGCTGTACGAACTTCTTTTTTGAATGTATAGTTTAGAATGAATAGTTCGAATGCCTATGGCGTCAGCTCTATGCGCAACAGATGCATACAAAGTCTATTGGAAAGATCCTCTGGGATGCTATCAGTCAATCACCTTGAATGCTTTCATTATTTTCCCCACTAACCGACCACTATCAACTAGGTGTGACAAAACGTAGATACTGATGGTTTTTGTTTGTGATTTGTCAAACTACAATGGGAGATGTTCAGCAACAACACGTTGGCTAAGCTGTCTAATAGTAAACTCAACATAACTGGCACTGCAGATGAACAATTTATACTCAAAATCTTATTATCCTATTCATAAATCACCATGATAATTGGTTTATTTATTTTAATATTTAATTGTAAAGTTATTTGGGCATATTAGAATTAGGCCAGATGAGATCTAATTGAAAACACAGTATTATTCGCTTGAATGAAATCTCATGGGAATCCTATTGCATATTTAAGGAACATTACGATTTATCATATTTGTCATCAGACATCTCCTCAATACTTTAATCCAATTTAGATCTTCCGGTCGATTGACTGGACTGAAGTACTCGGTTTCAAGTTGACATGTCGACTTATTGTGCAGATGCTTCGACGATGTTTGGGCATGTAACCTGAAGTCAACTGGTGGATGGTGAGACCGAGCACTTCGGTCCAATTAATCGAAGATGCACAAGAGGTGGCTCTAGTGGCCCAAGGGGTTGAGCGGATAACCTTTTGGCGTTTGAAACTATGGGCATTGGGTTCGTGACTCACTCACTGGTGGATGCAGGTACATCCAGCTTAGACGAGTCCCAAATAGGACAAAACGCACGTTATCTTGGAATCTTGGCAGAATATATAGACAAACAAGGTGTAGCAATTGGATCACCAATATCCTCTATCGTAGCAGACATATTTATGGACAGCTGGGAAAATAGTGCTCTTAATACATTTAATCCTACTCCAAAAATATGGTGGAGATATGTGGATGACACTTTCACAGTGTTAAAAACGGAACATATCTCTAGCTTCTTGACACACACATATAAACTCACAAGTAGAGGGAATACAATTCACATTTGAATCGGAAAATGAACAAGGACAATTAGCTATGAAGTTAGATTGTAAGATAAAACGAATAGAAGAAAGCAAACTACACACTAGTGTTTATAGAAAAAAAACACATTCTAATAGATATTTAGACTTTAATTCGTCTCATCCATTAACTGTTAAGGCAGGCTTAGTTAAGTGTCTAACAAACCGAGCAATGGTACTAAGTAGCACAAAGAAAGACCTAAATGACGAAATAAAACAGATAGAAGAAGCATTGGTGTTAAGTAACTAACTATCCTATAAAATTCATTAGGAAGATCAGTAAAGGCCAAAAACAAAATAAAAATAATTGTGGAACTAGTAATGATAACATAAATAAGAGAGAATATAAGTCATCCACTGTTATACCATATGAGAAGGGGACATCTGAGACCCTTATCACGTAGGATTCTTAATAAAGCAGGAATTAGGGTGAAGGCATTTAAACCTACAAACTCACTCAGGTAGGACAAGCTCTGTAGGTTAAAAGACCTTGTCAGTTGACCCAATTAGACAAAATAATATAATTTACAAATACCCTGCAATGACTGTGAGTTAAGTCAACTACATAGGTCGAACTAGTAGGTCGAGGGTGGTCAGATTATCAGAACATAAGAATTTAGCTAAGCTTAGAATGGTTGACCCCGAGAAGATAAGTAATTTAGAAAAAAGCTCAGCGATTGCACTTCACTTATTAACAAACAACCACACAATAGAATGGTGGGTGGGAGAGGGTTAAAATTCTAAAAAGTAATATAGATAGGTGAAGAGCGAGAGAGGTCGATTACTGAATCCTGCCATGTTCATCGAGTCTCCCTACACCCAACACATGCAACAGAAATGACTCAATGCAAATACCAGAAATATGGAAGATATTATTACCACCAGTCAGTCAAATCAGAGGAGGATAATAAATAATCCTAAATTGTATTCTATTTCAATTCAAACACAACATTCTAACAAGTTACTTATTTATTTTGACTATAAAAACACTCAACTTATTCCCCATCTGATTGTATTTGGTGAATAACACTCATATTATTATTATTTCTGAATGGACATTATCTCATATTGATTTTTAATCCAATGTCTAGTCGATTCCTTAAATAATAATTTTTCCTTCACCTTCCCCTGTGGAACATAGGGCTGCTTCAAGCTAGTGGCTTGAAGTTTCTGTAGCAGTGTTTATTTTACAGGATGAGGTTGCTAGCCTCATGCCCAACCTTTCCTCTTTACCAGGATTATTCCTGGCTTAGCGAGGTAAAGGAGTGCGCCGGCCGGGAATCGATCCCCTGACCATGTGCGCATGGTCAGCGAACGTAATAACCGTTATGCCACCGAAGATTCCTTACATGTATATAAATGACGGAAAAAAGTTGTGTGAGTAGTGACTTGATATGATTATGAGTGGCAATAGTTTGTGCTCGAAACGTGGTCATCAGTTAATATTACTGTATAACAAGCACACTGTGTGATTTATTAAAATAAAATCTTATCCATAATAATGGAGTTATACACTACCACCACAATACCCAAGTTTTATACCCATATCTTGGAATCCATCTTCTTAAGGTGGAAATGTTTCCATCATCTATAAAAATAAATCGACCAATATTCATTATTACTCTGAAGTGTTGATTGATGAGATTTATCCCCACCCCACCCCACCCCGCCACACACACACACACACTCACACTTAATCACACACAATTTGTTTTTCTTGTTTTCCCCAAAAAATGAAATGAAAACTGAACTGTAGACATCAGAAAACAATTTCTATGCACTACTGAATTTTTTGAAAAAATTCCCAGAATATGAAAAACGTGACTTCTATATAGCTGGTGAAAGTTATGCTGGTGTTTATGTGCCCACATTGGCTCTTCGGGTTATTAATTCAGATAAATTTAACTTGAAGGTAAGTAAGTCAGCTGAGTCCTTTATTTTATAAAATTTATTGTTTTTGATTATCTTGTGTAGTTTTCAATTAAATGTTAACATGATTTACTGCTGAATTGAGTTATCACTGAATCAATAGGTCTATGGACTAGGTATCTGGAGATTGTTACTTAGAAATTCCTTTGTGAATCACGTTACAAACTAAATTTAAACCATCACTAATTAAATTTTCTGCCTTCCTTACCTAAAGAGTGAAACCCATGACTTCAAACGTTTTTCCTGAAGTCGCACTAGCAGCGGCTGTGTTGTTATAGGGTGAGGTAGTTAGGGAGCGACACGCGTAACTTACTTTGCATTTCTGAGGATAACTATCAGTTAGGATACTAGCTGAGGTTTAGGAAGGCATCAGCTGTGAATCGAACCGAGACTATAGGTAGGGTTGTCGAGTATCCTCCCAGTGAACCATTGAGGTACTTTGTCAATTATATAGTGGTCATTAAGTAATGATTAAGTGAAGAAAAATATAACTGGATTTATGAATTCATAGAGATTCCACAGTATGCCAGGGTAGTCACAGTGATTTGACCTGTTTCTTTTGTATACATAGTCCTGGTTGTTTTAAGAGATGTGCAATAGTCCTACTGCCAAGGATCTTAACTCTAAGTTCCTATTATTTGCGAAGAAGCTCCGAATCGATAATTAATATGACCGATTACCGACTTTAACGTCAAAACACCAGTATTTGCAATAAGTTGCAATTAAAATCGATACGAAGTCTATAAACAAATGTTTTACAAGGAAATGTACTGCACTTTTATTCGTATTCTTTCGTCTTCTTCCAAGCGTTTATGATTGAATCATTCGCGCCTTCGAGTTGCCCGCCAATGGCGACCAAGACCAAAGAACCAGCGAAAAATGTTCACATTCATTTACACCTACTATTTGAAGTATTCGGTATCTAAAAGCCTTCGATAGTTTATTCTGATTTGTGATCTGTTTAGATTCGATGTTCTAATGTCGAACTGTTATAGGTTCTCACTAGTGTTGGTGGCTCAACGATAAAATGCTTGCTGCCCATGCCAACATGGCCAACACACACCTAAATCTCCCTAAGGTGACTGTCGGGCAGCTAAAGAAAGAAGGTTGGGCGTGAAGCTAGCAACCCTATCCTGTAAAAATAAAAAAAACGCACTGCTATTAAAACTTCAAAACTCTAGCTCGAAGCCCTATGTTCGTCTCGGAATGTAAAAGAATAAAATGAAATAATTAAGTGGATTTTAGTTCATCTTTTTTATCAGAATACTGGTAGGTGTTCCCGAGTAGGAAAATTCCAGGCTCCTAGAGCGATGTCCAAATTAAGCGGCTTCACAGCAGCAGTTTATGTTTTTAGTATTTTTAATATATTTATTCGTTGAAGTTTCTGTAGCAATTTTTTGGTTAAGTTTTGGGGGTGAAGTTGCTAGCACCACGCCCCAACCCTCCCTCTTTATCCGGGCTTAAGACTGGCTAGAAAACTAGTGAGCCAGCTCTATACTGAAGATCAGATGGCCGGGCCGGAAAGAATCACCAACAAGAAACTATGGGAACAAACAAACAAAACAAGAACCAATCGCCCAACCAACAAATATGCAGGAGAAAGTGGAGATGGATTGAACAGTCGCTGAGGAGGCTGCTGGGTGACATCGCGTGCGTGTCAGGCCATTTCTCGAGTGGAACCATGCCGAAAATGAAGCGGCGAGTGGTACGTCAGTGCAAGGATGACATGGAGGAGATCATGTGAAGAGGAGTTGAAAGAGTATGGACTAACTAGCATGGATGCAGGTGAAAAGTACAGCAGAAGGAAGACAGAAGTGGCAAGTGGGGACGTTCAGTTGAAGCCCTATGTTTCACTAGGAGGAACCCAAGGGAACAATAATAATGAGAACAAAGCAGCAGTTGAACTGATAGATGCAAGAAGCGGTGACTAACCTGGAGACTTCGTCTTTCACAGTTGAAAAAAAATAACTGGGCGCACGCAAAATAAAATAAGCCGTAGTTTACTGGTATTAAAAGTTCTTTGAATCGCTGCTCTTAGCTTTTTTTTTATTATTACTCTGCTTAATATGTCACCTGTGAATTGTAATAGGACATACAGAAGCTTCATGTTTACAGAGAGGGAAAATTTCTTCTTATCTTTCTTAGGCATGTGGTTGCTTAGAAACTCCTGTGGATAGCTATTATGGATGAAGACGTCATATACTCTCTTAACTTTATCTTCAGTCGCATCTTCCAGATATACAGCTCAGATCTTGTAGATAAGTGTCTTTATAAAAGGATAGATAGAAACAAACAACGTGCGGCTGATGAAAAATCCTCATGTTTGATTTTTAGCAGATATGAGTATTGCTCGTTAGCATTTCGAATTTGTTTGTAAGGATCTATCTATATGACAGTGCTTGTTGGACTAGATCAGACACCGGCATTTCAATTTCGTGTGTAACGATAAAATTTAATTCTTCTTAGAAATCCCTACCTTTTTAATGTAATGTTGCTTCAGTTCAAGTTACCCCCTAGCTGATCAAGGCGAAGGAGCGATGAGTTGCACCGGTGTGGAGTACTCAAAGTTGTATTGGTGAGGTAGGATATTTGGTTACAGGATTTCATCATGAGCTGACATTAGTTAGAGAACCATTGGGAAACCTGGGAGTACTGGACAGCCGTCTGTTTCATCCTGCTTTGCGACTCTTCAGCAGTGCACACCCACGGGGATTCGAACCCAGGACCTTCTGGTTACAAGGCGAGCTAGCACGTAGCCCATCAAGCCACTGTGACCCAATCCAATGACCAGCCCATGAATTCCAACTTCTGCCAAGTCATGATATAGTGCAACCTCTAGCCAATGTCTTCGGCAAGTATTTGTCCTCACACCAGCCGACCTGCTGCACCTTACTGGTCACTACTTCCCACTGGAACCCCAGGTAACTACTACCTACCTGAATAGGGTCAGTCGCCAGTAAGCATCTCATTGATATTCAAGTATTGGTTTGTAGGGATTCGATTGATTGGTTACAGGATTTCATCATGAGCTGTCATTAGTCAGAGAACCATTGGAAAACATGGGAGTACTGGACAGCTGTTTCGTCAGCCTAGTTTGGGACTCTTCATCAGTACGCACCCACCGAGTTTCGATATTTCTTGGATCTAACCTCAACAGACAGATATTTCCAAGTGTTGACTTTCAGAGATTTGATTGATTCCAATTTCAATCACCAAGTGACTTTATTTAGAGAACCGCTGAGAACCAGGGAGTGCTTGATAGCTGTTTCGTTGTAGTTCAGAACTCTGCTGCAACATGCACTTTTGACCCCGCCTGGAATCGAACGTTTTATACAACCTTCGGGTTAAAAGGGGGAACTTTTGTGTCATTCAGTTGATTATACGAGAGAGATAGATCTCGTGACCCATCAGTTCAAAATTCTGCCAGTTCGCGGTACTGCACCATCGCAAGACGATAATTTCATCGCCAAGTATTTGTCCACACGTCCAACTTGGTCGCCCTCAATGATCGCGCCTTCACAGGCAACTTCATCCTTGAAGTCAGTCACTAGGAAGTGCTAGATTAAGTTTCAGATGTTGATTTTCAGGGATATGAATATAACTTGAATGTCCTGGGTACATACCCCAACAGTGAGGTCATGCATGTGTACTGATAAAGAGTCCCGAACAGGGACGAAACAAATCTCCAGTATTCCATGGATCACGATGGTTCACCAACTGGATTCGATTCGTGATCTAAGTTGAGATAGATATTTTCCAGTCGCCTTTTTCAGTTGCATCTCACTGAGTACTTTGAAATAAAGCAAAAACTATCTAAAATCCTAATTTACATAGATTATCATCACTTGAGGTTTGTTACTTCGCCTTTTGAGAATGAGGAACCTCTGTAATTTTCGTTCTACATATCTAGTGGTAATTACGAGAGGAATCGCGTGGATTTATCCTGTTCAATAGTTGTTGAATGAAAATGTACTTCTATTCTTCGTCTAGTAGTATATGGTACTTTAGTATTAGTGATACAGTGATAGAATGCTAACCAGTCACCCTCATGGTCCAGGTTTGATTCCCGCCTAATATACACACCTAAACTTCATTTGATGAAGAAGGGGAAATTTTGGCTTAAGGTCAGCAAATCCAGCCTTGAAACTGGAACTTTAAAGTCTAATCCACTGGAAGCCTATGCTCTATAGGCAACGCAAAGAAATGAAACATTATATAAACCAAAAAACATTTCCTGTATTTTCTTTCAATTTTTTTTCCATAGGGGATTGCAGTAGGTAACGGATATGTTCATGATGAATTTTTGGACAATTCTGCTTTATACTTTGCTTATTATCATGGACTTGTAGATGAAGAGTAAGTTGAATTTGTGTGTATAATCGATACGTTACACCAGTGTTATTATTATCATCATCCTTCTCCATTCTTGGCATGAGATAATTCTCGAAGATTTTCCCCAACAGTTATACGACAATGCTGCATGCCAAGTAATCCACAACGGGAAACATACGGAAGCCTTCGAAGTGAGGACGGGAGTGAGGCAAGGCTGTCTACTATCACCAATGATCTTCCTGATTGCAATTGATTGGATAATGCGACAGACAACGGCAACCAACGAGGGAACAGGCATAAAATGGACTGACACAAAAGACTTGGAGGATCTGGATTTCGCCGATGATATATGTCTGATTTCCCATAAACTGGAAGATATGCAAGTGAAAAGCAACAAGTTGACAGAAGAAGCATCAAAGATAGGACTTCACGTGAACATAGATAAAACAGAGATGATGAAGATTCCTAGCCAACATCAACAGCAACAACAACAGACAACAATCAGCATAAGTGGGAAGAACCTGAAAGAAACAACCTCCTTCACCTACCTGGGAAGCATCGTCTCAACTACAGGCGGAACTGACGAGGATATCAAAGCCAGAATCGGAAAAGCAAGACAAGCTTTCATTACTCTCACCATGTCTGTGTGGAGGTCAACAGCACTCAGCATCAAAAATAACATCCGGATTTTCAACTCCAATGTGAAGTCAGTGCTACTATACGGATCAGAGACTTGGCGAGTTATAAAGAGCATCTCAAACAAACTACAGACCTTCATCAACAGCTTTCTTCGCTCAATACTCAAGATCAGATGGCCAGAAAAGATCAGCAACAGGGATCTCTGGGAGCGAAGCAATGAGGAACCGATTGTGAAACAAATAGGTAAAAAGAAATGGAGATGGATTGGCCATACGCTGAGGAAACCATCAAGTGACATCACCAGACAAGCCCTCGAATGGAACCCGAAAGGGAGGCGGCGAGTTGGTCGTCCAAGGGTGACTTGGAGGAGATCATGCGAGGAGGAGATGAAAGCATGTGGACAGACCTGGAGCAGGGTGAAAAAGTTGTCAGAAAACCTAAGGCAATGGAGGTGCGCAGCTGAAGCCCTATGTTCCTCTAGGAACTAAAGGATACAATAATAATAATAATAATAAAAGGAATTTCCAACCTGACCAGTCCCAAATAGGACGAGATGCGCGTTATCCTGGATTCCACTCTTAGTCACCATCCATCAATTAAATTCGAAATAAATCCCCAGACATCGTCGAAGCATCTGCACAAGAAGCCGACATGTTAACCTGAGACCGAGCACTTCGGTCCAATCAGTCAATCGACAGGAAAATCCCAAATTCAGTTAAATAATTAATATTGCCCGTTGCATGAGAGGTGGCTCTCGTGGCCCAAGTGGTCTATTGGATAACGCTTTGGCGTTTGAAACTAAGCGCACTGGGTTCGAGACTCGGTGGGAACATCATCGCTCACTGACTGGGAAATGCAGGTACATCCATTGGTTGATGAGTCCCAAATAGGACGGAATGCGCTTTATCCTGGATTCCACTGCTAGTCACCATCCACAAATTAAATGCCTCCATTCTGTCGTGCATATATTTGGCATAACAAATAGCCATTTGGATGATTCGCTGCCTGAGTTACGTTTTTATTTTTACTTCTCTTTTTCGGCCTTATTATCTCCAGTATTGAAAAAAAAAACGCTGCTATTGACGAATGTCTACCGTAGTCTGTTGGAAATGCTTTCTATGGCACGTCATAATAGCATCCATAGCCATAGTATCACTATCTAACTTAAATTCAAATTATTATTGCCATTATTATTATTATTCTATATTTTAGCCAATGGAATACTCTATTGACACAATGTTGTCAAGTTGGATATCCTACTAAATGTTTATTTACTAGAAACGCTTCAGACTTTTGTGATGCTATCGTAAGTACTTCCCTTTTGTTTTCATCCACTGAAATTGTTACTCGCATTTTTTTGTCTTCTGTTGGGTTCCAAGTGGAATACAGGGCTGCAACAATATATCTCTTCGTTTCGTTCTATTTTCTGCTTTTCTCTTCAGCTGGTTGGCACCACAATCTGCTCTGTGTCAACCTAGAATGGCTCACTTGTCTTTTCCTCCTGGGGTTCGAGTCGACGGCTCGGTATGAGATATCATCAGCCAACAGTCTCCTCAGCTTTTGTTGGATCCAACTCCATTTTTTCTTTGGCAAACTTGTTTAACACCAGGTTCTTCTTGGTTAGTGTGTTCCCATGAACTTCTTGTTGCTAATTCTTCCTGGCCATTTGATCTACAATCCTACAATGTCTAATGATTTTTCTGATTGCAGTAGATTGGATAATGCGACAGACAGTGGGCCTGGCAACGAGGAAACAGGCATAAAAATGGGCTCACACACAAAAAAAACTTGGAGGATCTAGACTTCGCCGATGTGATGTATATGTCTGATTTCCAATAAACTGGAAGATATTCAAGTAAAAAGCAACAAGTTGGCGATAAAAGAAGCATTCAGAGAAGATAGGGCTTCAGGTGAACACACAGAAAACAGAGGTAGGTGATAAAGATTCCTGGCCAACGCCAACAGCAACAACAACAACAACAGACAACGATCAGAATAATAAATGGGAGAATTCTGAAATAGGCAACCTACTTTACCTTTCTGCCTATCTGGGAGGCATCGTTTGAACTACAGACGGAATAAACTGATGAGGATATCATCAAAGCGTGGATTGGGAAAGCAAGATAACCTTTCATTACCCTGAAGTCTGTATGGAGGCCAACAGTACTAAGCATGAAAAATAAGATCCGGAATTTCAACTTCAATGTGAAGTCAGTCAGTGCTACTTACTGTACGGATCAGAGACTTGGCACATCACAAAGAGTACCTCAAACAAACTACAGACCTTCATCAACAGCCATCTTCGCTCTATTCTACCCAAGATCAAGTGTCCGGCCAGAAAAGATCAGTAACAGGGATATCTGGGAGCGAACCAAACAGGAAGCGATTGTGAAACAAATAGGCAGGAAGAAATAGAGATGGATTGGAGGCCATACACTGAGGAAACCATCAAGTGACATCACTAGACAAGCCATTGCTCGAGTGGAACCTGAAAGGGAAGCGGAGAGTTGGTCGTCAGTGTTAGGGTGACTTAAAGGAGGTCATGTGAAGAGGAGAGGAGATGAAAGCATGTGGGCAGACTTGGAGCCAGGTGAAAGGGTTGGCAGAAGGCCGAACACAGTGGAGACACGCAGCTGAAACCCTATGTTCCTTTAGGAATTAAAGGAAACAATAATAATAATAATTTGATTTTCAATATCTAGCTGATGTAGCTGTCAATAAAAGTTTGTAACTTGTTGAAAATTCTTTCTGTGACATTCTGTGCAAGTTTCTGACCCATATATAGAAGCACCGACTGACTGACTGACTGACTGACCGACTTCACATTTGTGTTAAAAATCTGAATCTTATTCTTTATGCTACAAAGTGCAGCAGAAGATTTCGAAATCGATTTCAGAGTAATTCAGGTATACTTTGTTTTTGCAATTCTTCATCCGTGTCGAATGCCTGTAGTTGGCACGATGCTTCCTAGCCAGATAAGTAAAGAAAGTGACCTCTTTCAAATTTCTCTTGTTGATAGTGATTGGTGCTGGTTATTGTTGTTGTTGTTGTTGGCTGGCTGGTTGTTTGGTTATCCTTATCACTTCTGTCTTCTCTGTGTTCACCTTGAAATCCTGTCTCCACCGGTTGATTCTTCAGTCAATTTGGTAGTTTTCTTCTTTAAGTTCACTACTAAGAATATTAGTAATAATAACAATAGATAAAACAATTATTATGTTATAATAATTTCCTTAGATTCTGAATGCAGCGTGGAACTTCACTAATACACTGAATATCTCCATGATATGTTTGAAACTGGAAGCAAGGCTAATGAGATTGTAAGAGAAATAATCTTATGGGATAAAAAATATCTGAAATCTGTGTGAACGGATGTGATGAAAGTAACTGGAGAGTCTATAATCTCAACTTCAACCACCCAGACCACAATTATGAACAACACACTGAGAAGGTGTCTATGGTGAGTGATTACACGAATAATATCGAAGGGTCTTATTCAGCGGGGGGGACTAATGCCGTCGTACAATAACAAATTAATTATACTTTATTGTTAGACGGTCGGAGGCAATCGTCAGGAGGCTTTGGACCTAAGTTCCGGGCTAGTTCGCACTCAACAGTCAGCAAAGCGTATCTGCAACGGCCTTGAAGGAACTTATGTCCCTTCTGAGATTCGAACCCGCATCACCTACTGACGAGTGCCAACTAGCACGAAACCTAGATCAGGAAAGGCTTCCTGTGGCCGATTGCCTCCAACCATCTAATATCATCATCATATCAATGTGTGCACCGTGATGGCGAACTACCTAAAATGGTGGCCACATTGCAAACCAGACTGACTGATGGAATTCAGTCTGCACCAAAGAAAGGACTAGACACACGTCATACTAGTTACTGACTAGTGTCCAATCAAACTATATTTGATTATTATTACCACTGTTTTCCAAGTAGAATATAGGGCTTCAATAAAACCTTCCTGTTTCATCTAGTTTTCTGGAGTCATCTTTTGGTGGATCCATGATTTCGCATAAGTGTTCATCACCTTATATGACCTTCCCTGAGTCAATCTCAGATGTAAAACTGACCGTCTCTTATTCACCGTTCACTTGAGGGTTTAACTTAGGCGTGATGTGTCACTCAGAGTTCTACTCAGCTTGTGTGCAGTCTATCAACATTTGTTGGGCGATAGGATCTTGGTTAGTTCGCCGTGTCGCCAGAGTTCCACATTCCTTATCCATTCCGGGTGGCTATTTGATCTCCATTATTGACATTGGTGTTGAAAATCTGCTGACTGCAGTAGTCTTTCACACTGGTTTCAGTGTAATGCATGTCTGTGTTGCTTTTCCGATCCGATCTAATCTTGCAACGTCTGGGAATCAGAGACAGTGCCATCAGACTGGGGTAAGTCACTTATTATACCGATATTCAAGAAGGGAAACAAGTCCTCGTGTGATAATCATAGGGGGATCAGCCTAACGAACATAGTTTCTAAAATCCTAGGCTCAGTGATCATGCACAGACTAAGCAGAACTCAAGAAGAACAAACGAGGGAAAATTAAGCAGGCTTTAGACCAGGCAGACGGTGCATAGATCATATCTTCACTCTCCGACAGATTCTAGAACATAGATACACTTTTCGGCGTCCAAAATTGACTTGAAGGCGACCTTCGACTCCGTGGATCGAAAGGTACTATGGGAATTCATAATAATAAAGTTTTTGTATTTCCCAAGGAATGAAAAACAAAAAGATGCTGTTTTTACTGACGTTCCGCTAATAGCTTTCTCAAAATATTATCAAACCGGAATTTGCAAAATCTCGGTATGTGTATAAGAAAGAGTTAATCTCACTAAACAAGAATATGAAGCCTTAAGAAATTTGAAGAAAGACAAAAGCAGCTCGTCATAACGAAAGCCGACAAGGGGAACGTCACTGTGATAATGAACAGAACGGATTATGAAAAGAAGGCGATTGAACACCTATCTGAAGGACCATACTTACTCATTGAAGACAAGAAGAAATCCGCCGAATTCAACAAAATGAAACTAAATACAAACAGACTACTTCAAGAAATGAAACCCAAAATTGGAAATTCTCTCTGGTTTACACTAAAACCAAAATCTTATATACCTTCAAGATTCTACGGTCAACCAAAGATACATAAACCCACAGTTCCATTAAGACCAGTAATAGATTTCACCAACTCACCAACATACAACCTTTCTAAATACTTACTCTCGATACTACAACCACTACAAAAGGACACTCAAAATATTGTAAAAAATTCATATGATTTCAAATCCCAAATAGAACACCGAGAAATTGATAAAGAAGACATTATGGTAAGCTATGATATTAACTCACTATATACTAGCATCCCTATTACCGAAAGTCTTGATATCATTTCCAGTCTACTAGAATCAGATACAACGCTATCACAAAGATGTCCACTGGACACCAGTGAAATAATTAAGAGCGTAAAATTCTGTCTAGAAAGTAATTATTTTACATTTAAAGGGAGTTTATATAGACAGACAAATGGTGTTGCTATGGGTTCACCAGTCTCCCCAATAGTCGCCGATCTTTACATGAATAATAATATCTTTTCAAGCATACTCACTCCTAAAATATGGTTAAGATATGTGGATGATACTTTTGTAGTACTAAAACGAGATCTACACAATTCATTCCTGGAGAAAATAAACTGTGTATCTCCCAAAATCCAGTTCACTTCGGAAGCAGAATCAGACATCGGTGAACTTCCATTTCTAGACTGCCTAGTTAAGAGAAGGGAAAACGGACATTTTAGTATATCCATATTCAGGAAGAAAACCCACTCCAATAAATATTTAGACTTCAAATCATCACACCCCATCAGCGCAAAGATTTCAGTTGTTTCAAGTCTTCTTAGACGAGCACACTCCCTGATGTTAACGGATGAGCAAGAAAAAGAAGAAGAAATATCAAACATCACTGAAACTCTCAAGCAAAACAACTACCCAGGGAACTTCATCAACAAAATCAACACAGACATTAAGTATGGCCGAAAATGCATTCCGAAAACATGGACTTCAACAGTCGTCATTCCATATAGAGCAGAGACGTCAGACGATATCAGAAGAGTACTCAATCAGCTCGACATTAGAGTTTTCTTCAAAACATCGGACACACTTCAAAACAACCTTGTCCATATAAAAGACCAAATCCCTAAAGATTCTCTATCTAATTGTGTCTATAAAATAAAATGCTCGGAATGTGATGCGATCTACATCGGACAAACATCTCGAGAAATCAAAATCAGAAGAAATGAACACCGTAGAGCATCTCTTCGAACTAGAAAACTTCAAAAATCATCAGCCATAGGTCTACATGCTATAGAATCAGGCCACAAAATTGATTTTGACAATATTGAAATAATCCAGAAAAACTTCAGAAACCACAAAGAACGTCTAATATCAGAAGCACTTCATATCAAGTGGAATCCAAATTGCCTGAATAGGAATGATGGACTAAAACAGAATCTGACCTGGCTACAACACCCCTCCCCCCTCCATGAAGTAGCAAAATCAACACAAATGTGATGAGCAAGTTCACTATGTAAACACACTACTTTCATAATTCTACACACTGATAAAATCCAACAATCTACACTTGATTTTGTTATCTTTACCAATTCACCAACTTGACAACAAAAAACGACCCAGACTGACGAACTATGATCAAGTATTTCACAATATACACTTAGTTTTGTTACCTTTACCGATTCTCCAACTTGACAACCAAAAATGTCCCCAGACTAACGAACGATGATCAAGTTAGTAAACTTTGTTTTGATATAATAACAGATGTACTATTACCTTTGATATTTGGTTTGAGCAATCTTCATTGTTATATTGACTTTCAATATGTCCTTTTTAAGTTGAACTAAGTCTATTTTTCTCACCCCTTAACTCTCTGTTATATATATGCTGAGATTTTGTAAATTCCGGTTTAATAATACTTTGAGAAAGCTATTAGCATTAAATAGCGAAACGTCAGTAAAAGCAACGACAATATCGTTTTGTTTTTCATTCATTGGGAAATCCAAAGAAAACCTTTTTTATAATGAATATCATATACCCAATGCCCAAATTTTTTCAAACCGTTAAAAGTGAACTTGGTTTGGACATGTACTATGGGAATGTCTGACTGTGAAGGGAGTCCCAAGAAAGTACATTGCACTAATCAAGGCACTCTTTTCAAACTCACGTAGTTATGTAAGGGCTTATGGGGAATTGTCATCTGAATTGATAACAGCCAGTGGTGTCCGACAGGGATGTCCGCTTTCCCCATTTCTGTTTAACTTCATCATAGATATGCTGATGGAAGTATCCTTAACTAAACGTAATGACTTAGGAATCGACTTGTTACCAGGGAATAATCTTATGGACTTAGAATATGCAGATGACATAGTCCTGTTAGGGGAGTCTTCTGAACACCTCGAGCAACAATCTTCGTATGTTTGGCATGCGATTCGCCCCTACAAAATGTAAGATGATGCTACAGGACTGAACTACGTCAACTCCTAGCCTAGTGATAGGGAGTGAAGTGATAGAACATGTTGACCACTTCACCTATTTGGGAAGTTGTATCAGCACCAACGGATTGATTGGCGACAAAATCTCAGCTGCTGCTCGAGATGGCTTACACCATCTCTGGAGTAGGCGTGACATCTGGTTATCAACCAAGGGACGTGTGTACTGCTCATCAGTTCGCTCCGTCCTTCTCTATGGCTCTGAAACATGGCCAATACGAGTTGAAGACATGAAAATGTTGACTGTTTTTGATCATAGATGTCTGCGATCTCTTTCTTACGCTAGGTGGTATAATAAGGTAAGTAATCTTGACGTTAGGCGTAGTGTTGGGCAAAGAGGGAAAATCAATCGACGAGGCTATAAAGTTACATAGATTGAGATGGCTAGGTTAGGTGCCTAACGCACATGCCTAACCATCGCCTCCCCCACCCGACGGGCATTACTAGCTGATATAGGTGGTGCAGGTTGGAAAAGAGTAAGTGGTGGCCAAACAAAAACATGGCCTCATCAATCCATGAAATCCTTGACAGTTAAACTGGGTCGGTCAGGTAGGGAGATGCAGACTCCCGGGTTGGGGCCCTCGGGACTGACTCTAGGAATCAATGGCTGGAGACAATAGATGGTGACATGGCTCAAAATCGTTGTCAATGGCCAGCGCAGATGTATTCAGTCTCTGTAATCTTTCATATTCCTTTCTACCATTACCCATTCTGTTTCACTCTTATGCTTGTCAAACTCTATTGATATTCTTCACTCATATTCTTGTCTACCTATGTGTGCTATTTGGAACGAGGCAACTCGAACTGCCGCACTTCGGTGCCAAGTTCTATGTTGAATCCAGACAGACAGGGGTCTAATCCTGACTGCCGTTGATATCCTTATCTGTACCCAATCCCCCTTCCTCCTGAAGTTGACACCATGTTGCCCAGAGAGATAATTGAAAGAGGTAACTTCAATACAAGCATTAAATTAGACTTGTTACCCTTTTAAAAAAACAAACATCTTATCGGGTGTGTGTGTGTTTTGTTGTTATTGATTTTCTCCATTTTCTAGATAGGTCAAATAGCTGGCAGTGTAATGACTGAAATGAATATTTACAATATTTATTCTGAATGTGAAGGTGGCATTACTCCGCATCATCCAACTTCTAGTGATAAACACAGTGATTTTGGTAATTTATTCCGTAAGAATAAATATATGCAAGAGCATCGCCAGTTATTGTGAGTACAAATCAAATTTATCCTTAAAAATTTTGCCGAAATAACTCATTTTTGAAATAATAGTGTTGTCGAGTTTATAAATTTCATTAATGAACAAACTATCGCTCATTCGAATGGAGGTATGTCAAGCTGACAGGTCGAAGTATTATTAATTATTATTGTTCCCCTGGGTTCTTAGTGGAGCATAGGGCTTCAACTGCACGTCTCCACTTGCCAGTTCTGTCTTCCTTCTGCTGTACTTTTCACCTGCATCCATGTTAGTTAGTCCATACTCTTTCAACTCCTCTTCACACGATCTCATCCATGTCACCCTTGCACCGATGACCCACTCGCCGCTTCCTTTTCGGATTCCACTCGAGCAATGGCCTGACGCGCGATGTCACCCAGTGGCGGCCTCCTCATCGAGTGTCCGATCCATCTCGACTTTCTCCTGCATATTTGTTGGGCGATCGGTTCTTCTTTTGTTTCTACCCATAGTTTCTTGTTGGTGATTCTTTCCGACCTGGCCATCCGATCTTCAGCATAGAGCCAGCGAAGACAGTTGTTGATAAAGGTCTGTAACAGGCTGTTGGAAATATTCTTTGTGACCCACCCGCTAAGTTTCTCATCCGTATAGAAGAGCTTACTGACTTGACGTTTGCATTGAAAATCCGACCGAATTTTGTTGTTGATGCTGGCTGAGTGACGAAGATTTCCAGATTGGTTTCAGGTTGATGAATGTGTTTTTCGCCTTCCCGATTCTCGCTCGATTTGACATCCTCGTCCGCTCCGACTGCCTGTAGTTGATACAATGCTCAATGCTAGATAAGTGAATGAAGTAACCTCTTTCAAATCCCTCCCGTTGGTGGTGATTGGTGCTTGATGTTGCTGCTGTTGGTTGGTTGGCTGGTTATTTTCATAACCTCCATCTTGTCTATGTTCACCTGGAGTCCTGTCTTCGCCGGCTGCTTCTTCGACTAGTTTGTCGGTTTTCGCTCGCTTGTAAGTCTTCGATTTTGTGTGACATCAAACATAAATCATCCACGCGCGAAATCCAGGTCTTCTAGGTTCTTCACGTCGGTCCAGGATATTCCTGTCTGCTCGTTACCCACTCACTGTCTGACGCATAATCGAGTCAGTCCATCACAATTAGGAATATCATTGGTGGTAGGTAATAAGCATCCTTGTCTGACTCCTGTGTTTACTCCAAACGCCTTGCTCAGTTCTCCGTTGTGGATCACTTGACATGTCCCGCCGTTGTTGTACAGCTGTTGAATAAGGTTGATGAATATTTGGGGTATGCTGTAGTACTCGAGTAGTTTCCAAATTACTTCGCGATTAACGCTGTCTGTCGAACTTACTTTACTTTACCTCGGCTATCTCCTACGGGAGGATGAGCCGGCTTCATGAACCATGAAGTTTCATGGGAATTGGGTACGAGTGATGTCCCCAGCATCCCTCGGCCTTTTGTTTGAGAGTGCAGCTCTAGCCTTTACACAACCAAGTGTGACCTACAAGGCAGTAGGAGTGGAGTAGGGAGTCCACTATCCATTGGAAGTCAGCCGGTGACCGGAGTCCGGTTCATTCGCCTTTTTGAATGGGGCCAGTCATCCAGGGCATCCAATAAGCCTTTTGTCCATACGTCTGCCAGTGAGCTTCATACGCCAGTCGTTGGAGGTTTGGAATCAGGGTTTAGCCGTCTCCCCTAGACTGTCATCCAATGGACAGTCAACCCGGTGAAGAGCCCGGGCATCCGCTTTTGCCCTCTCACTTTGGTGAAAAACACCTCCGCCACGTGAAGGCAGTGAGTAGGACTTCCTCAGGAGAGGCTATGTAAGACGCCCGGTCATATGGGAGCATTTCAAGAGGTGTACGGAGGGGTGGCCAACCCGCAGCGCAAGACACCCACCCCCGACCATCCTGAGGCTTTGGAGGCCTGTCTGTCGAAGGCCTTCTCAAAGTCTATAAAGTTGAGGTAGAGGTTTGATTGCCATCTCATGCTATGTTCTGCGGTGATGACGATGCGTAGAGTTGCAATTTGGACAGGTCGAAGTAGACAGCTATATATTGTAAGTCTCCGTTGTAGATTTGATTGAGATAGCCGCTAATCGTCAAATGACTTCACTTGAAATTCTGTGTCAAGGCGAGATTCTTTGTTAAACTAAATCGCTTCCTGATATAGCAAAATACTTCAAATGAACAGATCCGGTATGATTTCACTTTGAGGTTTCATTCCCTGACCCCAACCACGCTATGAAGTGTTGAATACGTCTTGTCTTTGAAAGTTTGGGTTTGTAGGGATTTGATCATTGATAAGTTTGCTAACAGTCTGACATCAGTTAGAAGACCATTGAAAACTCAACAGTGTCCTGAAAAGTTGACTCATCCTTTTCCGGGACTCTTCAGAATTACACAAGCAATGAACTCATCATTAAGTCGAAACCAGGACTTTCTGGCTACAACGATGAATTCATGGAGTCATTGTGATGAAATCCAATAATCCATCAATTCTAGCTTCTGTCAGTTTGCATTTGGATCACAATTGGAAACCATTCCCATTGGAGAGTATTTGTTCACACATCCAACCTGCTGGATCCCACTAATCACGACCTCTCACTAGAATTACAGACGTCAATCCGTTCGAGATCAGCCTTGAAGACAAACATTCACCGATGATATTGGTTAGTTGTCGCTCTATATTGTGAATTGATAGAAGTTGAAATTCATGGAGTTGTCATTAGATTGGGTCCCAGTTGCTTAATGGTCTACAAAACTAGGTTGCCTTGCAACCAGAGGCTCCTGGGTTCGAACCCTGAGGCAGTGAGGGCGTATTGCTGAAGAGTCCCAAACTGGGATGAAACAGCTGACTGTCCAGTGTGTGTGTGTGTGTGTGTGTGTTTCTCTAACTGATATCAATCCGTAGTCAAAAGTAATTATTTCTTTGTTTTGTTCATCTCTCTTCACTCACTTGTATTACATAATCACCATCATAATAATAATAATCAGGAGAACAATGGGTCGTAAACTTCAAACTCGACTGGCGATACCTTGTTTAAATGATTCTACAATACGTGGATATTTCAATTCATCAGATGTACGTAAAGCCATACATGTCAGAGAAGATATACCTGTAGAATGGGATATATGCAGTCAAGAAGTGAATTTTGGTTATACACGTCAATATACGGATTTATCATCACAGTATACACAACTTTTACAATCTGGTGTAAGTTTACAACGTGTAATTGATAAAAATGTCTGTCTGTCTATCTGCCTGTCTATCTATCTATCTGTCTATCTGCTTCTATTTGTATATGTGTATGCAAGAAACCATAATAAAATAAACCAGTTTTCATCCTCCTATTTGGCTGGCTAAAGCCAACACAAAGCCAAAGATTATTCGTGGATTAACTCCAAGCTATGGTTTGATCAGCACTAACTCTTTTCCCAACCTTATCCTGTGTCAGATAACATTGTTTTAAGAGGAAAGCAATGACTCAGCCATGAGCAACATGTTAAATCTGTCTGTCTGTCTGTTTTCGACATAGAACTTTGCACAATTGTGCGGAAGTTCAAGTCGCCACACTCTGTGTAGCACGCGAAGCAAGAGAAGAAAGTAATAGCCATCTCAATTCATGTAACTTCACAGCCTCCTTACCTAGCACTCGACTGAAGCCTAACTTCAATATCGCTCACCCTATTATACCACTTCACACAGGAGATAGAACGCAGGCACCTATGACCAAAGACCACGTCTACCACCCTCAATGGCCAGGTCTCACAGCCATAAAGGACGACGGAGTGAAGTGACTACTGAGCAGTACACATGCCCTTTGGTCGACAGCCAGTTGGATATCACGTCTACTCCAGAGACGGAGTAAACTGGCATATGCGAAACGAGCCTTCTGTATTTGTGGTGAGATTTCGTCAGCGATCAACCCGCTAGCATTGGCTGATGCAAATTCCCAATTAAATGAAGCCGTCAACACGCTCTACCACTTCACTACCTATTTCTACGCTAGGTGGCAATGTAGTACAGTCCTGTAGCATCATCTTATATTTGGTGGGAGTGAATTGCATGCTAAACATTCGTAGATTACAGCTCAAGGTGTTCAGAAGACTCTGCTGGATTTTGTCAGCGTCTTCACCTCACCTAGAATGGAGGGCTATATCATCTGCATATTCTAAGTCAACGAAATCATTCCCTGATAGTCAGTCCGCGAGTCGCTGAAGTTTGCAGTTAGGGTTAATTCCCCCAGTATAGCTATGATGAAATAAAATAGAAATGCGGACAGAGGGCTGGCACTCCTGACGGATACCACTAGTTGTCACCACTTCAGAAGGCAGCTCGTCGTAAGCTCTTATCTGGCTGGCTGCATGAGTTCGAGTAGAGTTCTTTGATCAGTGCAATGTATTTTCTCGGCATTCCTTTCACAGTCAAACATCGCCAAAGTACCTGTCGGTCGACCGAATCGAATGTCACTTTCACGTCAAGGAATATCACAATTGTTGAACGTTGACGGTAGGTTTGCATATGTTCCAGAATCTGTAGAAGGATGAAGATACGATCAATACACCCTGTTCCTGGTCCAAAGCCTTCCTGATTCTCTCGTGTTTCTTCCTTTGGAGAAACGCTAAGTCTACGCATTATTATTCAGCCTAGAACTTCAGATAACATATTAGTCAAGCTAATCCCTATGTGATTATCACAGGGAGACGTGTCTCCCTTCTTGTATATCAAGATAATCAATGACTTACACCAACCATACGGCACTTCCTCTGATTCCCAGACGCTGCCTAATACCTTAGTTGACGCAGACAGTAAACTGTCTCCACCGTCCTTAAACACCTCTGGAGTCATTCCACCAGGTCCTGCTACTTTGCCTCGTTTCAGATTAGTCACAGCCTTAGTAACCTCAGTTAGGGATGGAGGACCTATGTCTATATCCCATTCAGGGAGGTGTTGGATGTTCAGTAAGTTGAGCATGGCTGTAAGCCAATTAAACTGCTCCTCAAAGCGTTCTTTCCAACGTTTCAGTCGTCAGTCCTGGGAGCTAATCATGGTGCCACTTTTCTCAGAGATTGTTTCACTTATCATTTACCTTTTACCGCCTGTTGCAACGATAAGTCTAAATGGTTTTCTGGTGTTACTAATCGCCTATGCCTTTTCTATCTCTTTCGCTCTTGTCGTCCAACACTGTTCACGGTGTTCTTAATGAACTAGACGATTCTAACTCCAGTAGTCTATGCATTGAAAGTATCATAGAGACGATCCAGAATCCACTTATATAAAGGAATATATGACAGATGTATTTCACTATCTGGAAATTTTAACTTCTATTATGGGATCTTATATAAGATATATATATATTATTAATCACCTATGACATTTGCTGTTGGAGGTGCTGAGAATTACAAAAAATTGACCAAAGTTGGAGTCCATGCGGTGGCTGTTATATTCGATCCCTTTTAAAAATTTTAGTCAATGAAATTGGTACTTTGAAGCTGAATGTCCTGGCTTCAACCTTGGTGACTGGAAGGTCATTGGTGAGTACCGATTAGAAGTCCTCACCTGAGGGGGGGGGGACGAGACAATCATTCCATAGTTTCCTCCGGTTTTTTAAGTAATTCTCTAACTGATAAACTCAATGTGACCAGGGTGCTTCCCTCATAAACAACCGCGGCAATTCTTCCTAACCAAAACGAAATTAATAAAGTCTTAATCAAAAGTCAAACGAAGTGCCAAAATGAAAAACAGGTTTAACAAAATAAGAATAAACCATTTCATCAGTAGAAAATATCACGCCCCTATCACCAATTATTATTCTCCTCTTCTTATGTGATAGCAACACAGTTCATCTTGCTTGTGAAGTGTATATTATAGTCGCATCAGGTTAACATGCCATTTAAACAGTTTAAAGCAATTCTAACAATCACTTGACAAGAAAGAATATTAAGCAGTTTTATATCAAAAATAGTGCTGATCAAATTGCAACTCTACGCATCTTCATCGTAGAACAAAGCATAGAATGACAGTTAAACCTCTCTCTCTCTCTCTCTGCGTCAACTTCATCAATTTCGAAAAGACCTTCGACAGCGCAGCGTTGACCGAGAAGTAATTTGGAAACTACTGCAACACTATGACGTACTTGTTGTAATTATTTGTAATCGTAGTATTAGTATTTCGAGATGACCGAATTACAAGAATCCAATCAAAACACAGAGAGGACGGAATTCAGGAATTTGCATTTAGCGGAATTATTATTTCAATTGAAATAAGAAACATATAAACAATCAACAGTAAGTATTTAAACAATACAGAGATAGAAATTGTCAATCACCACATCCGCCACATGTCGAATATCTCCCTGCGTATTTATAATGATATCGCGGTTTGCTTGCAAGTAGCTGCGACCTTCTAACTGATTCTGTGATATTATCTTCATCAGTATTATCTGGACTTATTTCAGATTTATCTACAAAATCAGGATTAGTAGCGGAATCATTAAAATTATAACTGGAACGACCTACTTCATTTATTGTCACTTTGTCCAGGTGTCCGTTATGAACTGAGTGATCTTTGATGTCTAATATCTTCAACACTCGATTTCCCATTTTTTGTAGTATGATACCAATAGAAGGTCTATAATCATTCCCTCTGTCATAATGTACATTAGAAGTCGTGGACATCAGATGCTTTCTGAGAATTTGAGATTTGTATAGTGTTGCAGGACTTTCACGGGTACTTGAATGCTCTGTATTCAACAGACGTAGTCTATGCATATGCAGCAATTCCTCCATTTTAATCAGTTGCTCTCTCATCTCATTCAGGTCTTTTCGTGTTTTCGACAGTTCGCATTGCAACTTGGCTACCTCATTTTTGGAAACAGTTGATGCTTGCGTTGCTGAACTTGCAGTGGAGGTTTTCATTGTATTAGCTTGAGTATTTTGAAAAGTTGAAAGACACATTGACTCCATTTTACGAGACAGATTGGGAGAATTATAAGAATGTTGAGCAACATAAGTATTCGAACTTCTGCAAACCGTCTTGATGTGTCCAACTTTACCACATTTGTGACACTTAGCACCCCGAAAACGGCAAGTGCTTCGTAGATGTAACTTTCCACAGGATAAACACGGTTTAATGTTTTTGATCTCTTGCTGCATTCTGTTACCTGTGGACGACAGTTTGGATTGCTTTCCATGAACACTTGTATTTTCGACTTTAGAAAGCAAAACATCAGATACTGACGTAGTGGGAGCAGAGTATTCATTATTGACATCTTCATATGTAATACATACATCTTTAGCAGTTTGAAAGGTACAAGAAGGAATTTGAATTAACTCTTTCTCTAATTTAGGAATATTGATTCCAGCAATTAGACGATCACGTAGTTGTGTATGCAGCTGATCTTCAAAGTTACACTTTGAAGCTTGTATTTGGAGTTGAAGAATAAAGTCTCTTATCTTCTGATTGGGAGCACGAACCAGTTTATGGAATTGAGCCCTCTCTCTGGTCTCAAATGTAGTTACATGAAAGTGATTTGTCAGAAGTTCACGAATCTTGACATATGACAGAGAAATAGGCTGATCTGGAAATGACAGAGTCTTTACTAGGCTATATGCATCTAGCCCAACAGCAGTGATGAAATGTGCTGGTATTTTGTCATCCCGAACATTCTTTGAAATGCACCATGCATCGAAGCATTCAAGGTAATCAGCAATTTCCCGCGGAGAACCATTTATAGGGAATTTTCCAAGGTTATTTAGTTCCATCGCGACGCCAATTTGTAGTAATTATTTGTAATCGTAGTATTAGTATTTCGAGATGACCGAATTACAAGAATCCAATCAAAACAAAAGAGAGGGCGGAATTCAGGAATTTGTATTTAGCGGAATTATTATCCAATTCATGAAAGAAATATATTAACAATCAACAGTAAGTATTTAAACAATACAGAGATAGAAATTGTCAATTACCACAGTACCTCAAGTCTTTGTCAACCTCATCAAACAGCTGGTTATATGACAATGACACGTGTGTCAGGTGATTCATAACAGTAAACTCAACAAGGCGTTCGAAATGCCTACCTACTGAATGATCGATTAGAAGACTCTAGAAGATCTGGATTCCACAGATGATATATGTCTAATGTCACATAATCTCGAAGACTTACAGGCGAAAACTAACAAACTGGCTAGAGAGGCTGGCCGCGAAGACGTGACTAGAGACGTGAACGTAGAGAAGACGGAATTGGGTGATGAAGATAACCTACGAACCGCAGATACAGCAGCAACCAACACTAATCGCCACCAGTGGGAGATATTTATCAGAGGTTAGCCTCCTTCACTTATCTAGGAAGCATCTCATTTCAACTACATACGGTCGGAATGGATAAAGATGTCAAAGCTAGCCAGGCAGAATTGGAAAGGCAAGATTCACCTTCATCAACCTGGAACCACTTTAGAAATCTTCCGCACTCAGCATAAGGAACAAGATTCGAATTTTCAACACCAATGTCAAGTCGGTCGGTCTATATACAGGATAAAGACTTGGCTGGTATGTCGCGGAAAGTATTTCCAACAGGCTATTGCAGACATTTTTATCGACACCTGCCTTCAATCCACACTGAAAATCGAATAGCGAATCAGCCAGAAAGAATTATCAGGGAGAAACTGGGAAACAAACCAACAGAGCAAGAGCCGATCGCTCAACAAATATGTAGGAGAAACTGGAGAGGGATGGATTGGGAATATACTGAGGAGGCCGCCCGATAACATCGCACGCAATGCAGACCACCTCTCGAGTGGAATCCCAATGGGAAACGACGAGTGAGTCGCCAGTGGAAGGATGACATGGAGGAGATTGTGTGACGAGTTGGAGGAGCAGGAGATGAGAGATTTTGGTCATTCGTGGAGCCAGACAGCTGAATAGGATGTGGCAGAAAATAGAAGAAAGTGATGATGTGTTGTTGAAGCCAGTCCTATGTTCCACTTAGAACCCAAGGGAACAATAATAATAAAAGTAAAAGCAATATCAAAAATTACTTTTATGCAGACTTTGTTGCTTGTTTTAAATTAGTACCTATTTGTTTGAGGAAGTTTTCCGAGGTAGGTATTTACTTATCGTGTCCTTCTTTCTCTGTGCCTCTCTGTCATCTTTTCCTGAACAACTGGATTCCCCTTTTATTTACCAATATGAAAATATACAATTGGTGGATGGTGGCTAGCAGTGGAATCCAGGATGCGCATTTCGTCCTATTTGGGACTCGTCAGCTGGATGTATCTGCATTTCTCAGTGAGTGATGATGTTCCCACCGAGGCTCGAACCCAGTACCCATAGTTTCAAACGCCAAAGCGTTATCCACTAGACCACTTGAGCCACGAGAGCCACCTCTTGTGCAACGGGTCATATTAATTATTGAATTGAATTCTTGTATGCTAACTAAATACCCGGACATCGTCGAAGCATCTGCACAAGAAGCCGACATGTCAACCTGAGACAGAGCACTTCGGTCCAATCAATCGACGGGAAAATCAAGAATTCAATTCAATATGAAAATATGTATGTTTATTTTTGTTTTTTTTATTTCATAGGTCAATATTTTAATTTATAACGGTGATACTGATATGGCATGTAATTATATAGGTGATGAATGGTTTGTAGATAATTTGAATTTACCGGTAAGTTTTGTACAGTAATAATAACAACAATAATATAAAAGATTTATTTTTTTTTTTTTCACAATATCCCATAAAAACGATAATGTTGTTAATCGTACTCATTCCTTCGGTTTCAACTGTAACATAGGACTTCAACAGTGTACATCTTCACTTCACTCTGTTTTCTGAGCACACCCCCGTCCCGTCCCGCTTTGCGCTTTAAATGGCTTCATAACTACCCCTAAAGCTTATATTTTCCACTCCCTGTCACCTTTAGAGTTCCAAATTTTATCAATCCTTATCGGTATTCCACTCAAAGATCAAGCAATTGATGTCACTCAACATTCTTCTCCAACAACTGTAAAACACCTTCTGCACTATTATTCTTATTTCCTTTAATTCCTAGAGGAACATAAGGCTTCAGCTGCGCGTTTCCACTGCGTTCGGTCTTCTGCCAACCCTTTCACCTGGCTCCAAGTCTGCCCACATGCTTTCATCTCCTCTCCTCTTCACATGACCTCCTTTAAGTCACTCTAACACTGACGACCAACTCGCCGCTTCCCTTTCAGGTTCTACTCGAGCAATGGCTTGTCTAGTGATGTCACTTGATGGTTTCCTCAGTGTATGGTCAGCCAATCCATCTCTATTTCTTCCTGCCTATTTGTTTCACAATTGGTTCCTGGTTGGTTGGTTCGCTACAGGAGTTCCCTGTTGCTGATCTTTTCTTGCCATCTGATCTCGATTAGCATTGAGCGAAGACAGCTGTTGATGAAGGTCTGTAGTTTGTTTGAGGTACTCTTTGTGATGCGCCAAGTCTCTGATCCGTACAGTAAGTAGCACTGACTTCACATTGGAGTTGAAAATCCGGATGTTATTTTTGATGATGAGTGCTGTTGACCTCCACACAGACTTGAGAGTAATGAAAGCCTGTCTTGCATTTCCGATCCTCACTTTGATATCCTCGTCAGTTCCGTCCACCTGTAGTTGAAACGATACTTCCCAGGTAAGTAGGTAAAGGAGGTTGTTTCTTTCAGGTTCCTCCCATTCATGCTGGTTGATTGTTGTCTGTTGTCGTTGTTGCTGTTGATATTGGCCAGGAATCTTCATCGCCTCTGTCTTCTCTATGTTCACTTGAAATCGTATCTTTTCTGGATGCTTCTTCTGCCAACTTGTTGCTTTTCACTTGCTTACCTCCCAGTTTGTGGGAAATCAGACATATATCATCGGCGAAGTCCAGATCCTCCAAGATTTTTGTGTCAGTCCATTTTATGCCTGTTCCCTCGTTGGTTGCCGTTGTCTGTCGCATTATCCAATCTACTGCAATCAGGAAAATCATTAGCGGTAGTAGACAGCCTTGTCTTACTCCCGTCCTCACTTCTTCAAAAGATTCTGTGAGTTTCCAGTTGTGGATTACTTGTCATGCAGCACTGTCGTACAACTAACTGTTGGATGAGATGTATAATTGTCGGTGGCACCCTGTGGTAGCGGAGTAGTTGCCACATCACCTCTCGATCGACGTTACGCCATCAAAGAACTTTTCAAAGTCGATGAAGTTGAGATAGAGAGGTGACTCCCATTCCAAGCTTTGTTCAATGATAATCGGTAGTGTGGCGATTTGATCAATACATGACTTGTTTCTCCTGAATCCAGCTTGTTCCGGTCGAAGGTTTTCATCCAGGCAACTTCTGCATAATCGGTATTTATTCTTTTCAGTCACCTGGTCTCCATTATTGCGTCAGCGAAAGCAGACGTTGATAAAAGCGTAAATCTTGTTCCTTATGATTATCAGAAGACACAGTTATATCATTCATAGAAAATTCGAACAAGTTCACTCTGTATTGAAGCCTCTGCTGAAGATGTTGTCATTAAACTAATCAGATGGAAGAACCAAATCAAGTCAAAAAGTGCGCAGTAGACTGACACACTAATTTCAGAGTAATGAAGTCCTCTCCTACTTTTACGATGCTGTCTTTGACGTTCTCTTAACTCTACCGACTCTCTTTGAAACGATGTTGACTGATTTAGTGAAACAATTGACATTTCTTCGAAATTCTTCCTGCTGATGGTGCTTGTTGTTGTTGTTGTTGTCGGTGGCTCTCTTCATAAATTTCATCTTCTCTATTCATGCTTAAACTCTTATATTCGCTACCAGCCTCTGCTACAAACTTTATTAGTGTTCACCTGTAGATCTTCAAGTCTGCTTGACACTAAACAGAAATTCTCCGCAAGGTTCAGATCTTCTAGATTATATATAAGGGATAAATGGTTTGTTGATAATTTAAATTTACCGGTAAGTTTAAAACAAGTGATAATCACCATTACATGAATGATAATTTTATCTACAATATTTCATTAATACTATATTTTATATATATATATATATATTTATATATATATATATATTATTATTATTATGCCCCTCACTGTGAGCTGGTTGGCTAATGGCCATTGCTAAATTGCGAGTTGGCAGAAGTTGGAATTCATGGACTGGCCACTGGATCGGTTCCCACTTGTTTAATGATGTACGAGTTAGCTTGCCTTGTAACCGAAAGTTCCTGGATTCGAACTCAGGTGGGTGGTGTGTACTGCCGAAGAGTTCCACACTAGACTGATGAAACGGCTGACTTTCCAAAACTTCAGTATTGATTTTCCAATGACTCTCTAGCCGATATCATCTCATGATGGAATAGTCTGATTGGTTGATAATTGAATCAAGATCAAGATAAGAAAAGGGATTATGAAATTTCAAAGTCAGTTAAGGTTGTCCGAGCACTATTCTGAACGCTTCCTATCACAAATACACTATTAAACAGAGTTGAAAATCGATACAAATAAAGAGAAAGCAGGTACAAGAATGTTGCCTTTTAGCAGACAAAAGTCTATTCAGATTTTTAATTGTGATGTCAACTCCATGTATTATGATCATGTCGCCCAAATAGCTAACTAATTCAGTCTGGTTGGTTTGAATTGAATAAACTTACCAGGCGTTGATAAACTCGACTGCAAACCAGTGAAAGCGTTGTCCTCTGTTTCGATTCTTTTTGATCTAGAGTTGGCTAGCACAAACACTACTGGTTTGAAACAGTCAGGTCCCTTTTATGAATTTAGTCAGACAAAACAATAAGAAGGAAGACGTAATTTTTCTGAATCGTGCAATGTATGTATTTGTGCAACACATTTCGGACAATCTGATCACACAAACACACACACACACACACGGACTTGTCGTACGAATATATATGAAATCAATAAAGAGTTAGGATGTGCGAAAATAGACACTTAGGTCAAGATAAACGGCCAACATGTTGAAGGGGAAAATAACATTGAAGATCAATCACTAAACGAAATAAGATAGGTAATAGAATATCTATCCTGGCTGGTATCAAAACAAAGTTTCCCAAGAAAGGTGGTTGTTTAGTGTGATGATGAATTGTTGCTTTGATCGTATAAAAGTGGCTTAAACTTCTTAATTGCCAACTAGGGCTTCCACAAACTTTAGGATACGCCCTCCCCCAAACACGTTTTATAGATGGATAGGTTTAAAAGATGTGTTAACGTCAATTTTATGTCCTCTCTCTATAATATGCTTCTCAGTAGAGGAGCTAGGTCGTCACCTGTTCTCACCATTAATGGGTTCTGAAAACTCAATTTGTTTCTGTAGGCATTTAGGAATATGCTTTGAAGCCAGCTCTTACTTGCAGAGATCGATGAGTCCTCCCTTCTATGTATGCGTGTCCACACGTACATTGAAATTGGTTAATGTGACTGGTATACAACTACTCATAACAATCAATTAGTAGTAGATAATGTCATAGACAGAACTCAGATACCTGGGATTCGAACCAGTAGCCTCTGAACCACGAATGTGTTGCTCTACCATTTGAGCGATGAGATTCAGTTAAATAATTACTCAGTTTGCAGTCTGGTGTCAATTAGCTTAAAACTAGCCATCGAGGGATTTCCCTTTCAGCCGTCAGTGCGTCGGTGGCACAGTGGTTAGGACTCTCGCTGACCATGCACATGGTCCGGGTTTCGAGCCCACGCCGGTGCACACCTGATATCTATGGTCGGCCTGCAAAATTTGGGCTACCGATATCCATGCTGAAAATTCCATACTTGTACCAAAAATACAGTGTGGAATCAAGCTGTAAATCAAAAAAATAAAAAATAAAAAAAATAAAAAAAAGTCATCTTGCTTCCTGAATGGACCGTAAACTTTAAAGTTTCAGTAGTGGTGGTGTTGTTTGACCATGATGGGTTTTTCTAGTTTCATAAGGCCGACAGTCGCTCTTTCCCAGCTATTAAGCTAGGTAACGTTCAGGAATGAGTACTCCACGGCCAACATCAGCATGACTGAGGAGGTGTTCTACCCCCTGAAACACTGGAGCACTCACTCTAACCAATTTCACTTCTAAACATTTTCTTCCTTCATCTTTCGTTCTTTTTGTCTTTTCACTTCGCACCCCCTCCCGCCGAATCAATAAATCACCAGGTTGAAATGAATCGTACATCTTGGTACTATACAGAAGTTGATGGAACACAACAAGTTGGTGGTTATTGGAAAGGCTACAAGTTGCATAAATCACTTTTAGTTTATACAACAATTCATGGAGCTGGACATATGGTACCACAAGATAAACCAGTTGCTGCTTATTCTATGATGTCGATTTTTGTTCAAGCCGCTTAAAACCTTCTACTTAAGTTTTTGCTAATGTTAAGTGTCTTGTATTCCACCACCCCCGCCCCCCAATTCAACCTCTTTTTTGTTCTTGAATAAAAGATGATTTTTTTGCTATAAAATATTTCAGTGATTTGTCTTTTACTTCAAATAAAGATTCTTGTTCGAATGTGTTCGTGTGTGTGTGTGTGTGTGGGAGAGAGAGAAAGATCTATGATAAACGCGAGAATTTTGAGATCTATTTAGGTGATTCGGAAAGATATATGAAATGAAAATGAAGGAATTTCATACATTTATCCGCTTTTAACGAATTTGAACAAAGCAAGAACTACAGTTTTAGCAAAATAAAGTGGTACCATCCTGTGTTTATTTCGTTGCCTTCTCGTCAGCTGCTTACAAGGCAAAGACATTATTAAATATATCTACAACAACAATTTCAGCATACTTGCACAGAGTTCATTTTAAACCAGAATCAATCGGTCAGTATAGGCATACACTAATAATATAATATAAAATATTAAATACTATTCCGAACAATAATAATCGCACACAATGGAAACTTTTCAGCATTTTGCATTCGAATGAAAGAGAGATGAAAAATATCCAGTTACCAGACGGGGCAAAGAAAGACTGATAACCGCTTCTTCCTTCTGGATACATAAATCAGGTTTCAGGCGCTTGATGGAAATGGCATCAGCAGACTTAAAGAGAATTGAGCTCTTTTGCCTATTGATAGTTTTCAACAACTTATCGACGTCCACCTCATGACCCGTGTCGAGGAGATGCCTGGCACTAGGTACTGTTTAAGGCATTTGTTCCCTTTAGACATAAGCTTTTTGGTACATGTTCAGCAAAATCGTAGATATGCCCTTCTTTCTGCTTCCGCAGATACATTGGAAGGACATTGGAATTTCGAGAAATATCCAGCGTTACTCGATAAAGTTCACCTGTGGATGAATCAATGGTTTTGGGAGAAGTTATTCGTTGAAAAAGTAAATTTGATCCCTTCATTCTAAATTTGCCTTAAATCTAACCCTAAAATACACAGAAGAAAACAAAATCCCAATGTTTAAATAACATCGAATCAATAATACTGATAGATTACAGTTCAGTAGCATCAACATAACAATAAACTGAATGTCAGAAAAATTAGGAAAGATAATATTACAAATTCATCAATTTATAGTCTCTACTGAAGGCCGGTCAGGGCAGTAGTAGTGACTGGCTTTTGAACACAGAGCACTGGTTGTTTGTATCGAATTGCGATAGCCTCTGATGTTTGGAGTATGCTGTGCTTCGATGTTTTTGGCAGTTTATTTGGCACCCGGTAGATGATAGAATAAGATTCTTCAATGCTGACTGGCTTTGTGGCCGACCGGTTTGCACCAGATGATCTAATATCGAACTGTTAATGGTTTTTACTACACCATACTTTTACTTAACCATACTGGGAGATGTTCCTAAGCGAGCACGAAAAGTCAAGTTCCTAGAGCAACGGCCGACATAACTCGCTCCTCCACAAGCGCATTTGAATTGGTAGATACAATTAGAAGTGGCTAGTCTAGTCTAGGTACTTCATCTTTCAGTCGAGGAATCACCATCGGTCGTGTAGAGAATAAGACCGTGTAGTTCGCCAGCATTAAGAGTTCTTTGAACTGATTTTCTTAATTTCTTCGTAATTATTTCACTTGGTATATCACCTTTGTATTCCAGTCGTATATGAACAGGCTTCTTGTTTATGGATAGTGAGTAGTCGATTTCAATTAGATCCTTATCTACCGCTCTACTTTATTATATTGTGCATTAGTCAGTATCAACATGTCAAGGCGGAGGTGATAATCAACAGGGAAAATTAATACACACAATTAAAGGGTAGAAATGGTTACAAAAATTGGAAAAATGAAGATAAGTAATTTAAAAAAAAAATAAGCAGGTGTTCAATTTGATTACGTAACAGATTATCAAAGGAAAATAAAATGATTTAGCCAATTGTAACTTGAGTAGCTTAAAAATCCTCATGAAGACATCCAGAGAAGAGACTCTTTTCGACGGCGAATTCATTCACATAGCTAGCTGTACAATCGCATTTGTATATAATTATTTGTGTGTGTGTGTGTGTGTATACATCAGGTTTGTCAAGTTTAGATAATTGATCAAGTAATAAAAGAATGATCTAATATAGAAACAAGGTTAATTAGAGAGCAACTAAAGTAAGATTGAGTTAGTTAGTTAGTAAGTTAGATGATGACGTAATATAATTGACTAAAATGTCTCAACTTAGGTCAGGGTAGCAACAGAGGTAATTACAGGTGGAGAGAGACTAAGTAGAAGTAGGGTAGAGAATAATGCCATTTTTGAATTAGAAGTGAAATTGAGCAAATCAGTTGGATGACGTAACTTAAATGACTAGAAATTGAGCGTTGGTCAAGTCAGTAACTATGTGGCAGTGAGGTGTAGAAATTAAATAAATCGGGTGGGGGTAGAGAACAAGAAAGTTGAAAATGTAAAATATTACAATTGAAAAGACAAAATAATACTAATGAAGACTCAGGCAAAAAAAAAAAAAGAGATTAGGTAGAATTTACTTGCCGGGTAATATGATAGATTACGTCCATTGCTGCAAGTGTAGTGATTGAACGAACGTCTTCTGTATGCGAAGTTCAGGACTTAGCAAGTGAATTGCCATTACTTCTGCAGTTTGAAGAAGTCTGACTCGTACACCTTTATGAAGACTACTTCTTACTCTGTAGACGACTTTGAAGTTTGTTTTGGGTGTAGCTTGGTGTCCGGAATCTATCAGATGTTCCAAGATGGAGTTACGGAGGCATCGTTTTTCTCCTTTGTAAAACCATATTGGTAAGTGTTCGGTAATAAGGTTGTAATTAAGGATGAAGGTAGTCATAAGAATAAAATAATTTGGACAATTATAATTTGTAAAAGTTCAGAGGGAGAGGGGCAAAGTAGTCCAGTTTATACATTCATATAACGATAACCAAGGCAAGAAAAGTGGCTATACGAATTTCTTCTGAACTGACATTTTGGCTCCATGAGATGGATTCCGATGTCTTCATTCAGCTGTATTTAGATAAAGAACAATTCGTAGAGCAAAATTAAGACTAGTAGGAGTGTGGTAAATGACTTTAAATGATATATTACCTGCCATCAATTTTATACTAACTAATAAATTTGTTAATTGTGTCTAGTGATTATTTGAACAGCAAAATGTTGTTACGTCATATGACAATGTTGAACACCTGGTAGGAGATTCAGTCTTAATCTGAACACGTAGTGACAAGTTATACATCCATAGGTGTTACGGAGAAGATCCTGTAAGAGATAGAGAAATAAAGTCTTGTACGCAGTCGTGACACAACCAGGTTTTTTAGAATGGAAATGAGCCCGAATAACTCAATGGTAACGTCTCTGGCTGCAGAACTGCATGATGCGGGTTTGAATCTCAGAAGGGATATGAGTTACTTCAAGCTAACTTGCAGATACGCCTTGCTGATGAGTGCCAACTAGCACGAAACCTAGGGGCAAGGCTTCCTGTGGCCGATTGCCTCCAACCATCTACTATCATTGAAACTGAGTACAATTGAAAGGTGCAGTTGACGTTCGATATTCCGTACAGAACGAAAGCAGTGAGTACTGACAATGTTGACAAGACATAAGAATAAAACTTGTGCACTGTGGTAGAGTATAATTCCATTATAGATAAGATTTTATTTTGATAAATCGCACAGTGTTATACAGTAATGTTTACTGATGACGTTTCGAGCACAATTTATTGCTCATAATCATATCAAGGTAATCACACGACTTCCTAAATTCATTTATATAGTTCCATTGTTTTTCTCTTGATTTTCACTTGATTTGATTGGTAATAGTATTTTCCATATTTCTGGTATGAGTGACGAGTCATTCCTATTGCAGGTGTTGGGTGTAGACTCGATGAACAAGGATTCAGTAATCAACCTCGCTCGTTCTCCGCCTACCTAGATTACTTTTTAGAATTTTAACCCTATCCCACCCACCCTATTGTGTGGTTGTGTGTTAGTGCATGCATTGCAATTGCTGAGCTTTTTTCTAAATTATTTATCCATTGAAGAAATTATTTTAAGGATTCAGTTATGCCTCACATCTACTATCTTTAAGTTCCAAGACAAAATATATAGACAAACAGAAGGTGTAGCAATGGGATCACCAATATCCCCTATCGTAGCAGACATATTTATGGACAGCTGGGAAAATAGTTCCCTCAATACATTTAACACTACTCCGAAAATATGGTGGAGATATGTGGATGACACTTTCACAGTGTTAAAAACAGAACACATCTCTAGCTTCTTGACACATATAAACTCACAAGTTGAGGGAATAAAATTCACATTTGAATCAGAAAATGAACAAGGAGAATTAGCTATGTTAGACTGTAAGATAAAAAGAATAGAAGAAGGCAAACTACACACTAGTGTTTATAGAAAACCAACGCATTCTAATAGATATTTAGACTTTAATTCGTCTCATCCTTTAACTGTTAAGGCAGGCTTAGTTAAATGTTTAACAAACCGAGCAGTGGCACTAAGTAGCACAAAAACAGATCTAAATGATGAATTAAAACAGATAGAAGAAGCGTTGGTGTTGAATAACTATCCTATAAAATTCATTAGGAAGATCATTAAAGGCCAAAAACAAAATAAAAATAATTGTGAAACTAGTAATAATAACATAAATAAGGCAGAATATAAGTCATCCACAGTTATACCGTATAAAGAGGGGACATCTGAGACACTACGTAGGATTCTGAATAAAGTTGGAATTAGAGTGGCATTTAAACCTACAAACTCACTCAGGGACAAGCTTTGTAGGTTAAAGGACCCTGTTGACCCAATTAGACAAAATAATATTATTTACAAAATACCCTGAAATGACTGTGAGGTCAACTACATAGGTCAAACTAGTAGGTCAGGGGCAGTCAGATTGTCAGAGTATAAGAATTTAGCTAAGGT